GCCTTTGTATTGTAGTCTGGGCATTTTTCAGTGTCTTTTCAATCTTTTGTATTTCGTCCTTTGGTGATTGCAACAGTCTGCAACACCAACAAACTACCGGAATTTCCGATCTGGTACTTGTAAGATCTATCCTGCAAGTAGAACGTACCTTTTTATGATGTGTACTGGCGTATGAGAAGTAACTTTCACCGACAATTGTCCCATTTTCTATCGGCGCGTACTCAGGTCAAGGTGGATCAATTTCTCTTGACTTTCTCTTTGAATGAAGATGGGGTTTACAACTATTTGAAACACAAAATACTGCTAAAGATTGAACGAAAAAGTTTAACATTGAGACTTAACTCATGTTAACTCTTGTTATAAACCGCTGTTCCTGGCCGGTAACATACGACCTGCAGTTGATCAAGCTGATACAATAAACAAACCTGCTTGTTAGAAGCCGGTTATTTTTAATTTATTCCTCCACATTTTTGAACCGGAATACGCGCTCGTACACATAGGGAAAAAGTAGCCTCGCAGCGGTGTCAAAAATGAGTCAAGTTTTGCCTAGTCCTAGTAAGGCGTCTTCCAAGGCCTTCTCGGTCAATGTTCGGTGATGTATCCTAGACGAAAACTAGCTCTGACCACGTGACCTAGAAACACATAGACCACGCAGTAAAATGAAGCCGAGAGACTAGGCAAAGGCACGTTACATTGTATTGGCTGCGGAAAGTGTTACGTTATATAACGGGGGTAGAAGGATGGGGATACAATGTGCAAATAGTCCGTTTCTCTTGTCCGTTGTAGACATCAAAATGGTTTTAAGTTACAAGCTTGACCTTAAGATTGTGTCCATTTTTCATATTTTCTATGTTTAAACAACTGTGTTTTCCATCACGTGTAATTCATGTGACAGACAAATTACTTAAAGGGCTGAATACGTAAACGGAAGCTGTTTAAACAGTATTCGTCTGTTAAGTTGAGTGGTTGTCACTTTACATTCAAGCACCAAGAGTCAGAAAAATAATCCATACAGAATTTTTCGCGGTCCACTAAGCAATAGCGAAGCCCTTAATTTCCTCAGAGAACACAGGCATTTGCAGCATGGGCGCAAAAATCTTAGCCTTGATGTTGGTGTACTTCATCGTGCTTACAAACGTAAGTTGGATATTCTTTAAAACAACCAATAAGCCGTATTTCAACCCTTTGTCTTCTTGGCAGTATGCAAAGTAAAAACTCAAAACTAATCCTATATTTCATTTAGTAAATTCCATAATTAAATCTGGCAGTGAACGCCTCAATATTTGTTGGGCTCAAATCCCCGTTCTTAGGCCTTTCCTCCAGTCTGCTTGTACCTTACGCGGGAGTGTCGCAGGTAATTGCAATAAAGTTGCTTTGTCTTCACATTTTTGCGAGTATTTTGTAGGCCTCCCACGCAGACATGCTTAGGGTTTGGCCACGCTTTGCGTAGCGAGCCTAAGCTAGTATTTTATTGGGTGTATTTCGTTTTTGTAATTTACCCACGTTTAACCAGTTTTGCCGATTAAAGTCAAGGTTAAAGCATGTTTATTCCTTCTGAGTACCGCCCTGGTCAAAGAAAAAACCCTTATTGTTAGCTACACCAGGGTTTTCGGGCAAAAATAATACTAATAATATTTAAAAATAAAGAGAAGTAGAATTCCCGTAAACGATCACATGTTTTTACCGTAATAGGTCTCGCAGAGTCTTTCAAAGCCCCAAAGTGGTGAGTGAATGTTTTATCAACATAATGCTTGTAAACTGATTATCGCACTCAATATTTCTTTAACCCTTTAAGCCCTAAGATCAAGATTTGAATTCAGTGAAGAATGGGGATGAGTAAAGGATGTCTTCATCACCCCTCTTCAACTATTTTATAGTTCGTTTAAGTAGAACACACTAGTACAGGCATTAAGAGTACCGGTGAGACAAACTGTTTCGTAACTATGATGGAGGAGAAATTTGATGCTGATCACTCTTAGGGCTTTAAGGGTTAAGCATCCCTAAAAAATAGAAAGAATACGAATCATCGGGTTTTTGTCCATTAAAGCAAGATGTATTCAACTAACCAGCATGTAAACATTTTATGAATGAAAAGTGCAGTATCCTCCGATTTCTGTTTTTGAGTGAAATGAAGTGTTTCCCATTCATTTCAGTGACGCCGTGTGAGCATCCGCTGCCAAATTTTTACTGCGGGCGCGGTGGTCAACGTTGTCCACCGGAGTTTTTTTGTCTCATACATCCAGCTGACCGCTTTGCTATTTGTTGCCCTCAACAATAACATGTAAAGCGCAATGGTCGAGGAAATAAACTTCTGAGGTACGTTTCACTAGTTTTATTCCATCTTGAAGACGTTAACTTCAACCCAAAAGAATTCTAAATCCAATTCCTTTTTCTGATGATTAGAAAGAAAATTAAGTGTACTATCAATTTTATATGAATATGGGTTCTCATATTCCTCTCATATATTTATTTGGTGCCGCGAAGGGACACTACCAGGTTAAAAGTGGTGGCATGCGAGAAACGAAAAAAATGAATAAATGGAAATTTCAATATTTGAACAATTTAGCGTACTTTTTGTTGGTTATAATAATGGAGGTTGCATTTTTAGCAGTCAAAATCATGCTTGAGACAAAGACTATGATTTATTCTTTATTTTTCAGATGCCACAAGAAGAGAAACGGCTGTAAAGGAAATTAAATCACCATTTTAACCGTCAATATGTTTCAAAGTTATGTAGTTGTAGATGAAAATCGATCGATATTTCGATAACGTAATTATTGGTTTACATTAAGTCACAACAAGTCATTAAAGGCAAGAAATTGAAACTGATTATGATTACAGATATAATGAACATTACGTGAACTGCTGAAATACAAATTTTAAACGAAGATATGATCCTCGCAGTGTTAATTGTAATTTAAACAATTGCAAATTAATCCGAAGAATTTTTCGGGACTTCAACGGGATTCGACTCCATGGCCTCTTCTTTAGCCCTGCAGTGCTCTACCAATTGAGCTATAAAGACCCCGGCATATATTGGGAGTATTATTTTTATTTCATTATTTTCAACTCCAGGAATAAAAGCGACTTCTTCTTTGGTTTTCTCGACGAATGAAGAATTGTTTTCTTTCCTGAATGTGCCTTGCAGAAAGTTGCTCAAAAGTTCCTTTTGTGCTTTCGTAAAACTCGTTCACAATTTTCTCCATTTCTGAGCGTACTTTCATCGATGAACAATTTAGCTGCCTATCTTGATGAACTGTAACACAATTAAAAACAGAGTCTTTGTGGATGCAAATCAACAAAGCTTCGTTTGAGTTAATACGACAAAAAATGTTAAATTGGGGGTGATCAGTTATTAAAGTTTTGAATTTGACTTAAGTTCCAAAGATCGAAAGAACTCATGCCGAGAAAAAGCTTTAAATTTTTCTTAAATTTTATAGGCGATTTCTGCTGGGAATATAGTAGGATTTCACTAGAACAAAAGAATTCAAGACCATTTTATGAAACTTGTTTAACGATTAACTTGTTGACAAAATAAGAAATAGTCAAGCATCACATTAATATTAGGTAAAAGCTTGAAAGTCTCACCTCGGCGCACGCGCGAAGTTCGCATGGTTCGAATGATTTCCCATGTTAGGCCGCAAACTGTTAGAAAGGCCAAGGATATGAGGCAGCGCCAAAGAGCATCTTGGAATAAATTATTACTGGGATCGAAAAGGCTCATTGCTTGTTCCACAGCTGCACTTTTTGAAGAGGGCTAAAAATGGAATTAAGAAACGGTCCAGATAAGAACGATAGCAACAACGGCAACGAACATGTTGGAATGCAAAAAAGGTGCTAACTTTTCTATTGTCTGTGCTTACTTCTGATTGGCTTAAACAGCAAAAGTTAACAAAACTTTCATAAGGCGGTACATATATTCATCCTTACTTTCCAACCATCTTCCATATGACAAAATCTGGTGTCAGTTTGAATAACAAAGAAATCCTATGCGGGGAACATGTAAAATTGTAAACTTTTCTTGGCTATTGTTTTCGACTCTTGTGATTGGTCAAAATCTTTTAACACAAAAAAAACCCTTTCAAAGTGGAGTTTAAATGCATTTTATTGTGTAAACAGCCTTCATGTAGGTTTATGCATTCTCTGTGTAAAAATGAGAACATTCCTATGTGGGGAAAGCACCGTTGACGCATAACAAAAGAAATTGCTATCCACCTTACCCGGATCATTACTTAAAAAAGATTCAGTGGCGTTTGAACCAGCTTCCTAAAGTGAGTTCGTTGATAGTAGTCTGTAGGACACATAATACATGTCGCACAGTCCCAGTCGATTTGATGTTTCGTCTGTAAATGGTGTTCAGAAATGTGATTGTTGACGTCACCATTTCTTGTCGCTCGTTTGTGTTCAGTCAGTCGTGTGCTAAGGTTTCGGCCGATCGCATAGGAAATCAGTCAAAACCATCAAAAAGTTTCACGCGGATTTCTTAAATCCCAAGTGAGTGGAAGCAGCCCTTCTACCTTAATAACTGAAGTCTTTGATGCCACATGTGCAGATATCATGGCGGAATTCTCTTTCATGAATTTCTCAAAGCACTGTTGCAATTTCTTGGTTTCACCAGCCAACACCATTCCATATACTGAAGAATGTTGGAAAGTCTGGTAAATTCTCAGTCCACTGGAGTTGAACAAGTCTTCTCGACTGCCCGCAATCAAAGCATCTATAAGCGCCCCGTCAACCTCACGCGATANGTGCCAACTTTTCTATCGTCTGTGCTTACTTCTGATTGGCTTAAACAGCAAAAGTTAACAAAACTTTCATAAGGCGGTACATATATTCATCCTTACTTTCCAACCATCTTCCATATGACAAAATCTGGTGTCAGTTTGAATAACAAAGAAATCCTGTGCGGGGAACATGTAAAATTGTAAACTTTTCTTGGCTATTGTTTTCGACTCTTGTGATTGGTCAAAATCTTTTAACACAAAGAAAACCCTTTCAAAGTGGAGTTTAAATGCATTTTATTGTGTAAACGGCCTTCATGTAGGTTTATGCATTCTCTGTGTAAAAATGAGAACATTCCTATGTGGGGAAAGCACCGTTGACGCATAACAAAAGAAATTGCTATCCACCTTACCCGGATCATTACTTAAAAAAGATTCAGTGGCGTTTGAACCAGCTTCCTAAAGTGAGTTCGTTGATAGTAGTCTGTAGGACACATAATACATGTCGCACAGTCCCAGTCGATTTGATGTTTCGTCTGTAAATGGTGTTCAGAAATGTGATTGTTGACGTCACCATTTCTTGTCGCTCGTTTGTGTTCAGTCAGTCGTGTGCTAAGGTTTCGGCCGATCGCATAGGAAATCAGTCAAAACCATAAAAAAGTTTCACGCGTATTTCTTAAATCCCAAGTGAGTGGAAGCAGCCCTTCTACCTTAATAACTGAAGTCTTTGATGCCACATGTGCAGATATCATGGCGGAATTCTCTTTCATGAATTTCTCAAAGCACTGTTGCAATTTCTTGGTTTCACCAGCCAACACCATTCCATATACTGAAGAATGTTGGAAAGTCTGGTAAATTCTCAGTCCACTGGAGTTGAACAAGTCTTCTCGACTGCCCGCAATCAAAGCATCTATAAGCGCCCCGTCAACCTCACGCGATAGAAGAGCTTCGTAAACTTCATCCAGATTTCTGTATTCTCTGCCTGTTGGAGAAGTGCAACTATGTAAAAAAAAACTACACACCCACACACATAAAAACATTGCAAGAATAAGAATAATACAGTCAAAAATCCTCGATCATCTTCGACTTCCGATAAAATGAACTTGTAGAATATTTATTCTTCTAATAAGCTTCCGAAATTAAGCATAGTCGCCTCCGAGACGTACCACCCTTGGTGACGATGTTGAGAGACCAGTGCTCTCACCTGGTACAGACTAACTTCCCGTTCTGTTGGAAAGAATGGATGACGTCTTTCGTGCCCCAGAATCCATCAATACAAGTTCATGAAGTTCGTGCTCGAGCCCTCGGGGGGAGGGGAGGGGAGGGGGGGTACTCAGAAAAGCTTTATACGGGAGGGCTCCGTCCCAAGGTCCAACCCCTTACCCTTTTAGCTCCCCTTTAACATACCTAGTTGAAAACTTTTCATCTCTTTTAACTGACGTAATTGCACTGTCTTTAAAATGTAAATAAGTAAAAAAAATACAACATTTCTTCGACTTTTCCACAATCGTTAAGTGCATCGTTAGCCCTTTTGGGCCTCTTTCCAAACGAAAATAACAGATTTTCCTACACTTTCACATACTTCCACTTGTGAAAATCCCTACCCTTTCATATACCTGAAGCCTCAAGAAGGTACCCCTTTCGGGCGGAGTCTCTCCCAGAGTGCTATTAAATTACTAGCTGATTAGAGGTCTAGGTCCACTACATTAAGACTTATTTCAATTATTACCTGGATTCATTTTTGCATTTTTGCGCAATCCAAGACGAAACTCGGAGGAATTGTGAATAGCCGCAACCTGTGATAAGAAGTTAATATATAACTAATTAAATTAACCGAAAAAAGCACTTAATTTGAGTGTCAATGTATTTAGTACGGAAGTACTAATTGAGAACCGCCATTATACATGTTAATCCGAGCCAAGCGAGGGTCCAGCAAACGGCTGGACCCTCGCTTACTCTTCTCACCTGTTATTTTACGAGCCTGGGACCCTTTTCTCGAAAGGCCCCGTAACTTTTCGGGTCCGAAGGCAAATTTTGAAATCAAAACCTGTTGAATATTAGCACAGTTCCAAGCTCACAAACTTGTCAATTTTGTTCTCTAACTGATAGTTTCATTGTATCGTTTTCAAAATCATTGAAACTTTGATTTTGAATGCAAACACAGTAAACATAAACAGCTTTTCGAGCCCGAAAAGTTATCGGGACTTTGGAGAAACGGGCCCCTGAGTATTGATCCCGTCCCGGGAGTCGAACTCGCAACCTTCCGCTCTGCAGTCAAGCGCTCTACCGATTTAGCTAGTCCCGTCACGGTATGTTGAAGATAGATTTACTCGGATCAATTTAGGTTTCGAGGAAACTGCCCACCTACCCCTCCCTTGACCCAACATTTTGCCCTGAGTGAGAAGTAAGTGTTAATGTTGACTTAGGGGAGGGGTAGGTGAGCAGTTTCCCAGAAAACTAAATTGATCGATTTACTCCACTGCTATATTTTACAAAAAGGTTCCACATAAAGGTTCCACACTTGGCGACATATCGTTTTTTCCAATTTCGGAAAAAAAAACGAGATTTATGGTTATCACCTTGGATCCATAGAGCTTGATGTCACTGAAAACAATATCTGTTGTCAAGGATGTTGTAAGGTTGCCTAGCAACACGGCAATAGAAACCAGGCCAATTAACGTGGCCATCACAGAGAAAATTCGTCCCATTTTTGACTTGGGCGCCCTATCTCCGTACCTGTAAAATATGAAACACAACCTGGATGAGAACTGCGCTAAGCAATCAATCAGTGGTTTTCATTTGCTAATATTATGCCGCCTACCAACCTACGACACAGCCACTACACTGCAGGTTGGGAGTGAGTGAGTTTACGCAACAGGACGGCAGAAAGAAGAAGACGGCAAAACGCTTGTGTGTGACAAACGTGACAGGGCTGTTACTTGCGTGTTTTGTCGTGATCTTCATTCAACATTATTGTTTCTGTCTTTTTACATAGAGAGTGAGACTGAAGAGTGAGAGTGAAGCTTGGCGAAATTAAACGTTTTTTGAAACAAAATTATTGTCAAGCTCGTCACACAAGGTTTACCGTCTTCTTTCCTCTTCCATTCTGTTGCGTAAACTCACTACTATTTCGACAAATGAAAACGTTCGCCAATGACTTGACTAGCGGAAAGTGCCGCTGACAAGTGTGGAGAGTCCACTTTCGAAGTCGGCTGAAATATTTTAGGTGGCGAGGCATACTAGCCAATAAATACTGCATGTATTTCGTTTCTTGAACACTATTAAGTTCGCTAAGGACACGTCATTGGTTCAGCTAGCGCTTGAAAGCGACATTAAAGTATATGGATGAAAAGTCACCGGTACGGACTAAAACGGAGATCATTGCCGAAGGAGTCTCGTTCCCAGTCGTCCTCGGCGATTTGGGGCGAGACATTATCTGTCAATACAAGGTTGTCATGAGAATTCGCGCTCAGTTCCAAGCCTCCTTCGTTTACAGGGATAGCGCGAACTGGCCTGGGGTCGAGAGCACATTGCCAGTGGATCAGAGGCGAATACTTTACTTACCCAACGGTTGTCATGGTAATGAATGCCCACCACATGCCTTCCCATGCTCCTCTTAGGAAGGATTTTGAAAATTCCTGATCATTCTTTGAAGAATCCTAAACAAAACATTATTGACGAAATGTTTCAGTAATAATAAACTGAAGACTATCTTCATTAACGTTACTTAAATAGCAAGGATTGTGATTGAGTATGCACGGATTGATTAAATAACGATTTGGAGGTAGCACATCCACAGTGGTTCTTCGTCTACCTGATTCCTGGTCGAATTGGAATTTAGGCATGTTGGTTTGTGCGGAGAGGGGAAAACCGGAGTACCCGGAGAAAAACCTCTCGGAGCAAGGGAGAGAACCAACAACAAACTCAACCCACTTATGGCATCGGTGCCGGGATTTGAACCCGGGCCACCGTGACAGTGGTGGGAGGCGAGTGCTCTCACCACTACGCCACCGTCGCTCCCCAAAAGAGAAAGATCCTCCCTTTACACTTAAATGGGAGAATCTGCTAAATCTTCTGTAACCGCAGGAAGAATTTTGTCCACGGGGAAGTCAAAATAAAACAAAGTTTTAAAGATGCAAGAATTTCTAAGCTTAAGTTGCACTCCAATTTCATTCAATCATCTGTAATCGCGAACATCTTAAGTTCAGTTTAAACAGCTTAAATGTCAAAATTTTTATGTTTTAATTTTTGCACGTACAGTGGAAGCTCTCGTGAGCAGACACTCTCGGGACGCGAAAAAGATGTAACTGGAGTTGGCCTTTTACGGAAATGTAAAAATACAGAGTTTGTACGAGAGTTGAGAAAAACGGCATTTTGTGAAGGCGGCCGTAAGTAAAGCTGTCCCCTTACGAGAGTGTCCGTTATGAGACTTTGTAAAAAAGTTGTTGACTATTTTTTTAGTTATCTAACGGCTAAAAACCCTTGTGTAGAGGTCTTCAAAGAAGGTGGTACTTCGCACACAAGCACACAGGTCATAAAGGCATAAAGGAAACTGCCGGCCGACCCTTCCCCTAATCCTTAACCCAACATAAACACTAACGTCTCGCTTGAGGCAAAATGTTACGTTACGAGGAAAGGGGTCGGTAGGTTTCCAGTATCTTACTGATCCACACATACTTACCAAATTCCAAATAATCATCCCAGACAGCAAAACAATAGAAAAGTTGAGGAGTAGTACTGGCCAACAGCTGAACACAGAAGATAAAAGTCTTAACGACACTTTACTTGTATCCTCTTTGGGAACAATAAAAACAACAGCGGGAGACTTAACAACAGCTAGAAACCCATACTCCCCCATAAACTGCCGCTGTCCTTCATACCCAAACAGTGGAAAACTGAAGTCACTCTCTTCCACAGAACTTCGTACTGCAATATGATCTTGCTTTTTGCGGGGATTATCCGTGTTACTTTCCATAATGTTGACAGTAGTTATTCCATGTGCTTGGCAACGCTGACAGCATGAAGGCACCATGTTTTGTATGATGAATGGAAAAATACCTTTTGATTGATCATTGGCGTCCATATAAGGAGGATTGTGCCACCAGTTTGTACTGAATGTGGGCGGACACCTACAGGTTTCTTAGGGAAGACATAAAAAACTCAGGATTAATTAAGGTTTCTGGTAAACTGCTCACCTACCCCTCCCCTAACTCAACGTTAACATTTGCGTCTCACTTGGGGCAAAATGTTGGGTTAGGGGAGGGGTAGGTGGGCAGTTTCCCAGAAACCTTAATTGATCTAAAACTCACTTCATTAAAAAAACTGATCTAGTATCCAGAGTCCATGGGCTCTTTGCATAGCGGAAACTCGAAAGAGCCCGAGGATGCTAGGTAAGAGATTGAGTATAAAAGCTTCTGTTTTAAGACTGTTGAAAGTTCCTGAGGAATACTAAACAAACATTGAGTACACAAACAAGTAAAGATGACATGTACAAGGAGTAGCAAAGCACGAAAAAACTCGTCTTCCTATATTTTGGATTGTTAGTAGTATGGCGCGTACCGGTCGATTCTCTCTTTTGGTGAGGTGGACTCTAAAATAGAAATGCGTAAACTTACGCGATTCGACCGCACTTTCTACTTATTAACAAAAAAGAAAAGGTTTTCAAGCTGGTAAAGCGCTAGTCTATAGAGCAGCACGTTGGAGAAGTACAATTTTATAGAAAATGTAATGAAAAGATGACACATGGGTTTACGTTTTCCAATTTTGTATCCTCGATGGCTGGTTGTTTGAAGACTACAATCGGTGGTCGTTTTAGGGCCTAAAACACATTTTCCTTGAGTAGGGATGCACAAGCAAACCTGTCTAAAATGGACCATCTCAACCCACCTGCAAATACTGGACGACTGATTGGTCCATCTCCAACGTCATTGAAACCCAGTACTTCAACCTTGTACAAGGAGAAGCTGCTTAAACCAGTCACTAAGACATTTTTAGTCGGAGCTTGAACTGTTATTTCTTCTATATCAGCGGTAATTCCCGTCTGACGAGACACTAACACGAGAGTGTACAATACTCTGTAACCCAGAATAACCCCATTTTGAGCGGCGGGATGAATTTCCTGCCACGTGACCAGTAAGGAATACGGACTTGTGTAATTGTTTACATGAACGTTCCTCGGTGACCCTGCAGGTGCTGTAAAAGAAATGAATAAACAGTGAAGGAGTCAATGAAGTACAGCCACTCACATCTCTAATCCCCATTAACCAATTCTTCCACGGATAGTGAAAAATGGTGATTGACGAAGCATCGCTTCACTATCGTATCAATTAACGCCAAAAACTCCTAGGAATATTAGTGGTGATCCAAATTTCCAAATTTCCTTCGTGTTGCGCCTGTGCCTTGTTTTCGTAAGTTGTTTAAAGCTGTTGAGCGCAACTTACCCTTTTTTAAAACCAATGTCGTGGTGGGCTGAAGTGTAGGCGTACTGGTCATAATATTTGCACTTGTGTTAAACGCTGCAAAAAAAGCGAAAAGCATTGTAGTTTTTTATACTGTATCATCATAACAGCGAGAAAAGATTGTAAGTTTATATCTACAATCCTCGACAAAACTACTTGAGAAAATGTTTTCATTAATGCGCACTACCTAACGCAACAAAACTATTTCTAAATCAACGGCTTTGCGTAAAGAAAACCCCCTCCCCCAGTTCAAAGCTACTTCCTACAAATGCTTTTGGGATCCGGTTTTCTTTTGAAGACCCAACAACACTGCTTCCAGGGGGGGGGGGGGGGGGGGGGGAGGGAAGAAACGGTCACCTCGGAAGTTTAAAAAAAAAAGGCCCCTAAGTATGCAATTTTCTCAAAATTTTTTTCCACGATTGTGGCTAAAAAAAACCCTGAAAGGGGTATCCTTTCAGCATTTGGTTGTTTGATTTATACCTTGTACATTGCGCTGGTTTGATGTTTTTGTGTGTTAAAGTATGCAATTTTCTCAACAGTTTTGTCCAAGATTGTAGCTAAAACAAACCCTGAAAGTGGTACACTTACTGCTTTCGATAGTTTGATTTAATCCTGATACATCTGCATCGTTTGACGTTATTGAGTTGTTGATGGTAACGGAGGGGATGATGTTGCTGTTCGTGATAGTGGCAGCGGTGTTGCCGATGGCGGTGGCAGCGGTGTTACTGGTGTTGCTGATGGTGGGGTTGATGGTGACGGTGGCAGCAGTGTTGCTGGTGGCGGTGGCAACGGTGTTGCTAGTGGTGGCAGTGGTGTTAATTGTGGTTGTGGTAACGGTGTTGCTGGTGGTGGTGATAGTGGCAGCGATGTTGCTGGTGGTGTTGTTGGCAGCAGTGTTGCTAGTGGTGGTGGTGTCATTGTTGTTCCTGACAGCTGAAAACCAATCAATAACTCACTAAGTCGTTTAGTAAATCAGTCAATGGATTAAAGGTTAAATGTATTAATCAATCATAATCGATAGGAGAAAAAAAAATAAGCATAAGAAATGAATATTTTAATTCGCGAAAGAAACAGGATCAATGAATAAAGCAAATAATCATTCAATGAGCAAATTAGTCAATCACCAAATCGACCAAATTAACGTTTTTGGGCGAGGTGAAAAATTGCACTCACAAAAACACAATTTTAACATTGCACTGTACAAGCTATCAACGTACATGATGTGACTGAAGAGGCGACAGAGCTGCTGCGGGAAGGTGAAATATTAACAGAACTTGCAATGCCCCTGGTAGGAAGCCCACTGTCACTCCAAATGGTAGGAGTATCCACTGATAACAGCCAATAAGCCAATGAAACGTTTGGGCCCTTTCCCCTCTCGTTATAGCCACTGACAGTAAATAAGTACTGGGTGTCATTTTTTGGTAATGTCAGCTCAAGCCACGTATCACTTGTCTTGTTTGTTTGAAGAGCCAAAGCCCCTACTTCTTGGTATTCAACAATGTAACCAAGCAACGCCGGAGCGTTTATATACTCGGAAGGAATTGAAGTCCAGTTTAGCCTGATGTTACTCGAGGAGTTGATTCTAGTCACCATAAGTTCAGTTGGTGCTGCACTGGGAACTTGAGAAACGAAACACACAATTGTTGAGCTGTACAGGATTCAACCTCATACCCAGGACTTTCTTCTACTCGTCCGTACTCCGGAGGACAAAGAGGAGAGAATCCTGGGAATGAGCTTTTGCGGGATCATTAAACAATGCAATAATAAATAAATAAGTAAATAGTGATTTGGAGGTACCACATCCACAAAGTGGTTCTTCGACTACCTGATTCCTAGTCGAATTGGAATTTGGAAATGGTGGTTTTTGAGGAGAGGGGAAAACCGGAGAACCCGGCGAAAAACCTCTCGGAGCAAAGGAGAGAACCAACAACAAACTTAACCCTCATATGTAACTAAAGGCTCTGAATTGTACAAATAACGGAAACAGAAATCAGCTGGACGTCGATTTCGAAAGCAGCACGAGTTTGATACCAACTATTTAGTGAAAACTGTTTTAATGACGAGCCAAATTGACAGCAAGCTTAATGCTACGATTTCATAAAGAGTTTTTATACAGTACACATACTAAAATCCAAGTCAATTTGCACCAGAAAAATGTACGTTTTGTCCTGATTTTTTCCCAACCAGTAAAGTCAACAATGAAATTTTTTCTTGGAATTATACCAAAACACAAATGGTTCAATGTCTGTATTTAAAAACTTTATCCAGGCACAATACATACCATCCATATCAGTTGAAATTATCACTGGAACGCTATAGGGTCCGTCCCCGACTGTATTTTCACCACAGACGCTGATCTGATAATCAGTGTATTTTTGCAGTCCTTGGATATCAAGCTCAAGCCCAATGATCGTAAATACGAAAGAAACCGCACTTGAACCCAGATGATTAACGTTGATTTTGTAATAGAGTATGTTTGGTTGGTTTGGAATGGGTAGCCATATCACATGAATGCTTGTAGAGCTTTCGTTGTATCCCGAGACATTCTGCGGAGCATCCTTCAAAGCTGAAATACAATAATTTTTTTGACGCTTTTCACGAACAATTTACGGATCAATTTAGATTCCTGGGAAACTGCCCACCGTGAGACTCCTCCCATAAGCCAACATTTTTCCTAAGTGAGAAGTAAGTGTTAATGTTCGTTTAGGGGAGGGGTAGGTGGGCAGTTTCCCTCAAACCTGAATTGATCTCAATTTACATGGTGTGAAGAAAGAAAGATTACGTACTGGTGTTTATTCGCACGCTACCCCTGGACGTTGGAGAAGTTTTGATACGAAAACTGTGTAGGGGTAAGATTTACATGTGTTTAATCTGATTTAAAAACACTGGTCAAGCGTGATCTATTTGGCTTTCCTTTGTGAATTATCCATAGGTTTTGAAAATAATATTGACGTTAATAAAAGGCGTGGTTTTTTTTCTGCGAGTAATAATATCGCTCCACTTATTTCTTCAAAACCCACAAGTTTAATATATATTCAAAGCAATTCGCGCAACAATGTGTGCACACTAACGTGATCGTGGATCCGTTCACGCGAGTTAATCGGCTGAGGAAATGGCGAACAAAAACAAAATCCATCTCAAATCCGGCCGCATTTCGTAATTTTTTTTAGCGACGAATATAAAAATGTATAAATCGTCTATGAAGCAATTAATTTAATATGTAGGCGAATCGACCTCAGTGTGGGCGAAACAACTTGTAGGCGAAACAACAGACATTCACTTACATGGTAGGGTGTGACTGTAGCTTGTCTGCAAAGGCTATTCACGTAAGCTATACTGCTTTGCCCAATGAAACATTCACTTATATCCAGACATGCACACAACGCAGACCTTGGGTACTTCATATAAGACAATTATTGATCATGTTTGATAGCATTGCTTACGTTTAGGTAAAGATTAGGGCCGCGGGAACACTTTATGATGGCTATCATAAGGAGTATGACTGCACTTCTGGACATAACTCCCAACATCATCAAGTTTCCCCACGGTGAAAGTATAGCTTACCTTCTTCAGTGGTCTTACGTGTCAGAACAGTACTACCAGGACCGCTACCAACGCTATTTACAGCTTTGACCAAAACGTTATAGTCTGTAAACGGCTGTAATCCAGTCAACCAAGCTCTGGTTTGATTTGTCATTGTTGAATTGAAAGAAGAATCGTTGTATTTCTTCCACAATATCTCGTAACCCAAAAGTGAGGGTGCGTTTATTAAACTGTCAGGAATTGGACTCCACGTGATTTCGATACAGCTTGAATTTGCGTCTACCGCCGCTAGATTCATCGGCGGGGCACCTGGCACTGAAATTAAGTTAGAACGTTTTTTCAGGAAGCGCGATAAGCCTGCAACACCCTTCTCTGAAAGCCATGTAGATGAAGATGAATGAAAGAGGAAATATGAGATGCCAAAAATTTCCAGTTAGAGTGGTTTTCGTTTGAGTGTCGTAAAACCAAAACCAAAGTAATTACTCTGGCCAATCACATAGGACACAGACAATACATTGAACCAATCAAAACTCGAAGTAATTACATGTGGCTGACGCAAAGCGCGGGAAAATGCATGCGAGCGCGTCACAATTGGCTTTGGTTTTACTTCTGATTGGATGAAAAGGTGGCGCGAATCTTTTAAGCCAATCACATCGTGTAGAAAGTGCAAAACCAATTACTTTTCGACACTCAAATGAAAACCACTCTATATTTATATAATTATTTACACTATTTATATTTATGCTTTGCCCAAGAATTTGTTTGGTACATGTAGATAGAATAGCTGGAATATTTCAATCGTTTTCTAGAATCACATGAATTTACTCAGGGGCACCCAACGACAATTTTCGGAAAATATCTGTCCGGAAGACGATTTGAGATCTAGAATTTTCGGAACATTTTTTCCAAAATTTCTTGCTTGTCTGCCTCTCCTAGGATTTTCGAACATCTAAAAAATGGTATAATTGCCCATTTTTACCCTAAAAAGGTCACCTAGAATTTTCAGGAGCCTTTTTTCTGGCTGAAAGTTTCGAAGAGGTAAGTTTTGATCCCTATAATTTTCGGATCACTAGACTTTCAGCTAGGAAATCCGAACAGATGAAAAATTTTTAGGGGGTAAAAATATGCCTATATATACCGTTTTAATACTGAAATACGTTTAACAATGCTATGTTAAAGTGGTTTTGAACTATATTCTCGTTGGGTGCCCCCGTTTACTGGGGAATGATTTAGCTTCGATAAGGTAAATTTTTACCTGCAAAAAGTAGGTGTGGTTCATCCCTATTATACTACTTACAAGTTATATGTTCAAACAATCATTCTCTTGAAGAATAGCTATGGGGAAACAACAAGGAAAATAATTTTGCAGTGATTATGAAAATATATCCAAACTGATAAAACAGCAGGGATTTCCTTAGGGTTTTCGTCACAAATTATTCCTACATGTGTTAAAAGGCACTTACCACCTGCTCTAGTAGAGACAACAACAACATCACTGGGTAATCCATGAGCAAAGAGTGTGACCATAAAAACTTGGATAGTGTATTCAGTGTACGCAAAAAGATTTGTTAACAGCACTTCTTGTTTGTCCTCTTTTGTATCATTGTTTGGGACTATCAACTCCTCAAATGGGGCGGTAACTGTACGGTAGCGAACTTTGTAATACTGGAATACACCGCTAATATCGTATAAGGTTGAGTCAGGTAAACTATCCCACGACACCAGGAGACACGGAGTCAAAGAATTACACGGGGTCGCCGTGACATTAGATGGGCTGTACAGTGGCACTGAAAATAAAGGGAATACGAGGGTGTCGAATTTGTTCCAGACCATGCTATTTTTATGCGCTTTTCTCCTTATGGCCTTCTGAAAAAACTACGTTTCACGTCACTTTAGGCCTTCTGGCTCCCCTCCCCCTTGTTATGTAATTCCATAAGTATTAAAAGCAATAAAATCTAAAGGTGCGGCAAACAAGCAACAAGAACGTGCAACATTCCTGCAAAACGAGTTGTACAGGGATGGTGCACGTTTTACCACCCACGAATCAACTGATTTAATAGCTTTACCAATATTCTGAAAAACCCGTAGTGGGGGAACTTTGATGGTTTTTGGAAACCTCAGGGTGGCAAGGCGTAGAGGCGAAATCATGCCAATCGACCAACACTTCGAAATTCGGGTTCATAGGTACAAGATCATGCCTTGCCTGGATGCAAAAGCTCATAAGTAAATAGCGTTAGACGTCTATCAGGCTAATATGTTCTTGAGAACTCGATACCCATCAATTTTTTGCAAACCGTTCCCTTAAATTGTTCATTGGGAAATATATTATCAACGGGGGTTTCACGTGTGAAGCGAAATAGCAGGAAGTAAGAATGAAAGACCGTTACCATCTGATGACCAATAGGAAGTGATGTTGGCCTCTTCTTCAAATATCACGGACGCATTTCCAGTTAATGTTTCTTGGATTTTGATGGCCTGGTCAACTCCCAAGGAATAGAATGACATATTAACGTTGGTGATAACACTCCCGGCACTGGAAAAGAAATCAACACTTCAGGTCGTAAGGGTAGCTTAACCCTTCCTTCCTAGACCAAGAAATGACGAGATTATTTGTGATTCTAACTTTTAAATCTGTGCATGAAATCCTATGGTGTTACCATTCAAATAAAAACTACTGAGCAGTACTTTCCTGTGGTACTGTTTATTATGCTGTACAAGGTGATTCTAACTTTTGAGTCTGTGGATGAAATGCTATGGTGTTACCATTCAAATGAAAGCTACTGAGCAGTACTTTCCTGTGGTACTGCTCATCATGCTGCACAAGGCGGTTCTAACTTTTGATTCTTTGGAAATCCTATGGTGTGACCATTCATATGAATCCTCCCTGGTAGAATTTTGGGCTTGGTACTATTAACATGGAATTTAGTTTGATCGAAATTTGTCTTGGGTCACACTTAGGAGTTAGAAACTAAAAGGCTTAACCTAATACGTCTTTCCTGAATTTAGTCATAACGTACATGAAAAACAAATTTCTTTCAGGCAGGTAGGTCATAGCAGTGTACGTCCCGTCTACACTAGCTCATCCATGAATTATACGGATTTTTACGATTGATGTTAAGAAAGGACCAAATAAATGGACGTAAAAACGTTGAGTGGTAGAGCGGCTGCGTTCTTCAGTGCGGTCACTTGGGTTCAACTTGGGTTCAGCACCTCCGCAGTCATGCTTGTAAAAGTGACTGATTATGAGTACGGTTAAACGTTGATGATACTGACCGAAATGAAAAGACGAAACAAGAGGCATAGTTGTTGTCGACTTCAAAAAATTGGTTCAGCTGAAATAAATGGAAAAAGAAATTAACGGTTTTACCAACACTGTCACAAATAAAAAGGAGCGAAAACGCACGACCTGAAATTGCTGCAATCAAGTTAATTTGTAAAGTGTCTCATCTGCTTCTTGTGCCATAAAGACGTTTTGTTTTAAACAAAGACCTCTTGATCTTACAAGGCCGGCTATTCAAGGAAGCCTTGATTACAGCCCGTGTATAAGGCAGGGCCTATTTTAACTGTTATTAAAAGTTTTGCTAACCCCTTACATGACGATTTAAACAATATATTTTTTTCAAAGCTGTTGCTAAAATGTTTCATCATTTAAAGTGTGATGAGATGGAATACAGACCACAAGACACTGTTATTTCTTACTTTCTTTTCAATTCTTCTAACTTCGCGTTGTTCCTCACTTAAAAACTCAGCCCAGACTTTGTTTGGAAACTTCAGTTCCACTGTAATCCACAGCATCTCTGGTTTGCCTTGAGAAATAAAATCGTCTCATTTAGGGAATATTATTGCCGCTTACTTTGCAGAAAGAGCCTGTCAAGCGTGCATTCAGTACTTTGGTGCTGCCATTCAGGTAAAGATGTTTCGTGTGTGGCGGGCTCTCGGTAATGATTTCATTGTAGATTTCATATAGAGAATATTAGGAAGCTTAATCAACAACGACGGCGATGGCCACTTAAAATCTTTATCGCGCTTATTCCATCTCGTTCAGTTCGTCAAATGGTGGCAAATTTTTTCTGGAGTTGAATTCTTAAAGATTGTATCGAAGCTCAGGAAAAGAAAAAGAAAGTCGTTGTCTCGTTTTCACGTCCTCTACGAAAATTAGGCATTTCAGGTCGCAGTCGTACAGTAACGGCACTTAGAAATGTACAAAAAAGCGTGATGCACGTGCAAAGTTGTTGTTTTGCTAATCTATACCTATTGTTTTTTACCATTCTCGTTGCTATCGCCGTCGTCGTAACTAAAGCTCCCTATTAGGCAACAGGGGTCATGTATTTCCCAGCTTCCAATGTCACATATCACTTTTAAAAAATGAATCGACCTTGTGGTACTAGTGCCATTTCAGCATTATTAGTTATCCGGTCTTTTGGCGGAAGTCATTTGAAAAACTCGAGAGAGGAAAAATACAATGCTAACACTCGGTCTCAGCCTTACCGGTGCGTAATATAAAACGTTTTTACCTTCATCAGTCAGCGTACCTGTAAGATACTCGTACATGCGCATGACTGTTTGTTGATCAAACTTTTTGTACCAAACCATTAGTTCATCAATTACAGCAACCGCTTGACCAGTGGACAGCGGTTGTACTATATCAACGAAGTTCCCATAAGATTTTGTTCTTGAGCCCAAGTTCTCTCCGTTGCGATAAACTTTTAAAGTGATCAATGGACGGAAAGTGAAAACAATGTGTGTCCAAACACCATGTATGACATCAAATGACACTTCAGTCTTAAAGCTCTCGTGCGTTACTTGCACCACGACTTGACCATCACGTTCTATCACTATGAAGCCGCGTCTATTATCATTTGGTTCTCCAAATCCTAGAATCTTCAAGCCATGAGCCTGCGATGACCCTGTCTCCTGCAGGCGAAGCCAAAATGACACTGTAAATCCATCGGGGCAGGATACTTCGACTGGATTCGTGATACATGGATCAGTGACATTCCCAAGGTTCAATGCGCCTCCAGCAAAAAACGTAACGTTTTCCGATTCAATGTTTAAACGCTTTGAACGTCGAGGGAAACTTTTCCCGTTAGTGGTAGCATTATTAGCAGAGGTAATCGTTTGTCGAAAGTTATCCAAGGACCAATACCGGTTTGGGGTTTGATACAGCGGTTTTATTTGATCTGCGGTTGAATTTTAAAAAAAATGAAATAAGTATATAAATACGAACCAGAGGCAAGGAAATGTTCAACCGGTTATACCTTGAACCCTTAAAAGAACAGCGTCACTAATTCAGAAAAAATGAAAAAGTCTAAAACACAAAATATGGTAGAGGCCAGCCTAGTCCTCAGGTGGTCTCGGCTCGGTCAAAGTTGGACTTTACTGTGAACATTGCGTCACCGAGACGCCTACCCGCCTACCCCTCGACTCACCTACCCTTCGCCAAACTTTGCGCGGAAAACGGGACAGAGGAAACGCCTAAGGACTTGGCTGGGTGGTGGGTTGGAAGACTGACAAAAAACAACAGAAATATGGTGGATGATAAACGTCATTAACCTTAACTTATTCCATCGTTAATGAGATTCGTGCATAAAAAGGTTCCCTGTCTTGATGAAATTAATGACGTTATCTGCGTTAATGCATTCCACTTCACACTACGGATCCTTCTTCAAAAAGGGGTCTCTATATTACAACAAGAAGCTTCAAAGTGTGACCTCCATTAATTAACCCACATTCTTTCATGCAGAAATTAACCAGTCATTAGTCAAGGACAGTTTCCAGTGGCTTCTGATTGGATTAAATCTGCACGAAAGAATTTGAATAAATTAAAAGAGGTCACACTTTTGGGCTCCTTGCTTTAAGGGTGATGTTACACGAGACGATTCGCAACGACGATCTTTAACGCAATACTGCGTCACAACATTATTACGACACTGCTTCGAATGCTTCCAACATTGTTCCAACATCGCGTCGCTGTGTTGCGCTAAAAATCGTCGTTGCGAATCATCTCGTATAACATCACCTTAATGAGATGCCTTTGCATGACGTTATCAGTGTTTCTGAAACTCCTGCCCCAAAACGGCCTTATCTCTCCCTACTATACTACTAATAACAATAAACACTTGAGAAAAACGCTTTCATCCATTCGCCATTTCCACATTTTCTAAAAGTTTTGCATTATGCGGTTGTCCCAGGAGAAATTAAAAACAATGCTGAAGCACAATTTTGGAGCGGCAAACAAGGTGCATATGGAAGATGTGCAAATGGCGAATACCAGTAAGCAGAAACGGTGTTATTTACCTTTTTCTCCAATCCAGCCAATTGCCTGAACTGAAGTGTCATTAGCTTTGACTTGTCGGAGTAAGGTGAGGGTTATTTCTGTGGCACCATAGACTTTTATGAAGTAAAAAACTGACCCACAAATAGCATCTTTGAGAAATCTGCAATACCATATATAGAATACAACACAGTACAGACATAAGAGTACAAGAATAGTCGAACTTTAATAATACTCTAAGCCTTGATGCAGTACGTTATCACATGCAGACTTTAAGAACATAAAGCATTTCACTTTGCGTTAAATGATCGCTAATCTGACGGGGTGTGTCCCCACACTCATAGGGATTTGCTTACTAGCGGTGGCTCTGCCATCACCTTTTACAACTACGAAAATCAAATAAAACGTGAGGTCAATCGTGTAAATTAAAGTACAGTTACTCTCTTTATTGAGGCTTTTTCATTTGACTGAAATATCCAGGAGCAGGGGCTCCTGCCAGGAGCTTGTTTAGAGCGATTTTCGTATGACCTTGAAATGAAAACTTGCGAACAAAACAGAAACAACAAACGAAGGGAAATAGAGCGATTTGATTGGTTTGTCGAACGGATACAAACGCGCGTCGCTTTTGGTTGGTTAAGCGAAAGCTCGGCTGGAAAAACTTCATGCTGGAAAAACTTTCTAGAAATCGCTTTGACGTCATACTGCGACACGACTGGCTAATCGAACAATGCCTTCTCCGTATTAGGGTTCTCTTTTGCGGGAAAACGACGAGTCCATGTTTTGATCTTTTCATCGATTGGCTAATAAAACAAATAACGAACACTTACCGAAACCATTTTTCAAGGTCATACGAAAATCGTTCTATTAGGAAAGACGTTCGTTTTAAGAACCAGCAGCTAAATTTTTTTATTACACATATTGGTTCTTTAGATTTATCTTAGCTTTGAAGGAGCCTTAATTCTCACCTTAGCGCTCTACTTTTGATACGTCAGCCATTACGGTCAGGCAACCTTATTAGTTCTAGCAATTTTCAATTAAGAGTTCGCTTTACTGGAAAATCCAGATTTTACGGATCATCTAAACCAATACAAAATCCAAAAACCGTTTCGTCTGTAAATCTTCTAGTTGAAAAGCATATCGTAAAAGATTTTTTTTGTAGCAAAATGCATGTTTCGATTTTGTGATCGTTTGTGAAAGATTTTGAAATTTCTAATCTTGATTTCGTAAAGGAACCTAACCAAGCACCAATTTCTGGACTTTGTGATGGACTAACAATTATCTCGTCAATGAATAACTTCACTGTCTCAACCAATCACAACCAAGCATTTATTCGTAACTGTAGCCAGCGTGTTCCCGCGCTTGATGAAATTGTTTTAATGGATCTATTGTCAGCTGTGATTGGTTGATTTAATTACCTTACTGACTCTGCCCGATCGTTGAAATTTATCTGGAAAGTAGCTTTGTGAGCAGTATCACAACCAATTTCAAGATAAATGTGTTCAATATCTTTTGAACCACCGAGCAGACACGACATGTTATCTCCCACGTGCATCACCACATTGCCTGCAAAGCAAGTCTTCACTCTGGAAAACACATCATAACCTGTCAAGAGAAAAAAAAGGTTATTTTCCAGTCTACGAAAAGCAACTGATGCATTCACATCAATGCGCATACGTGTGAGACTCTAACTCGGGATCTGGAGGTCCGGAGTCCAAGCCTCGCCCGTCGAATAACTCTCTTCAACTTCTCTCTTCAACCAAGGGTATAAATGGAACCGGCGACATACTGCTTGGGGGGGGGGGGGTTGTAACCCTGCGATGGACTAACCTCCCGTCCGCGGGGGAGTAGCAATACTCCTATGCATGCTTCATGCTAAGGAAACTGGGATAAGCTCCGACCGTTTGGGCCTTTGTCTCGTGTGCGCCTTTTCCCTGCCCTCGGTGAAGAAGGAAAAAGGGGGATCATTCTTCCAAAATTTTGGAACGAAATTTCGTTGACGAGTGAAAACCTATTTCAGTGGCGGACTAACCAAACTGAGGCCTGAAGGGCCGAAAGAATTTTTTTTGAGACTAGTCCTCTCCCCTTCATCTAAAGGTCGGGATCCGCCATTGTGTTTGGCACACCACTTACCCATATTTAAATTAATTTTGATATTATCTCTCAATTTTTAGATGAGTAAGCTAATATTCAGTTCTATCAAACTTGATATCTAAATTGAACGAAGTAAACGAAAGGTAAAGCAAAGTCAAGACAGAAAAAAGATAAGGGAAAAAAGATTAAAATAATATACATTAACTGTTTCCGAAACCCATGTAAAAGCTTACCATAGTAGACTTCAAGCTCCGACAACGTGAATTCTGAACTTCCCGCTAATAATGCCTCTTGTGGCCTTCCTCGCCGCCAGTCATCGCTCCCAGAAAAAAATATTTGACCAAGAGCGCTAGTTCCATTTTTACCAGTCAGAAGAAGGTCTGGGGGAATCGATGGTCCATGACTCATGTCATTTAAGATGGAAGCCCTCTTGTTAGTTCTTCTAACATTCTTGATTGGGGAATATGCTCCATTATAATTGGCCAATGAGAAGAGAAAACAGGAAAGACATTTGCTTGAACCGTTAACAACTAAAAATAAGAAAAAAATAAAATATACAGTAAACTTCCCGCTTTAAATTCATCTCTTTATAAGCCTCCCCTGTTATACACCCATCTACCTGTAAACAAAAGATACATCCGATTATAAGCCTACCGGATGTAAGCCCCCTTTTGCTCTAATTATGAGCCCCTAGTTATAAGCCCCCTCGTATATAAGATCCTTTGCTAATAATCCCCCACCCCAGTTATAAGCTCATCTATCTGTAAACAAAAGATACATCCGATTATAAGCCCCCCAGATGTAAGCCCCCCTTTAGCTTCAATTATGATCCCCCAGTTATAAGCTCCCTCGGATATAAGATCCTCCCTTTATAAGCCCCCAACCCCTCAGTTATAGGCCCATCTACTTGTAAACAAAAAATACATTTGGTTATAAGCTTCCCCGGATATAAGGGCCCCGTTTATAAGCCCTCATAAAACCCTTGCGGAGTTGTATACAGGGCTTATAAGCGGAAGTTTACGATATCGCAGGGGATAGAAAATGTCACTTCAATGCTCTGTACTCTTCTCTTATTTACCATAGTTCTCAAGCAATCAGCGCTCGAGAAATCACTCGGGTTTTGTAAAAAGCTATATCGATTTTTGCAGTTAAAAAAGGTGAACTAATCGACTCATCATCTCACAGGCATTCCAAGGCTTGTTACTATAGCCACCAAATATCCACCATGAGTTGGCTTTGGCCAAGAACAATGTATAAGGTTTGTGATCACACTTGTTGTGAAACACTTCAGGTTCCCAGCCGTCTTTTCTGGCGCTGTAACAAGGAATCCAATGATGGCCTTCCCCCAAAAGGATTTTATAAAGGTGGTCGGTGACATGATGTTTGCCCTGGATAAAGGAGTTCTGAAATCCTACCGAATAATGCACAGACATAATATTACCTTAATGTTTTTACTTGCTATTCAATCCAGCCATCAAAAAGATACTCATCGTCCGATTTCAGGGCTAGTGTTCAACGCCCTCCACAGTTACACAATTCAATTCATTCCTCTAGCACATCCCTAACATTATACGGGCCACCTTCCCCAAGCGTTACGAGGTTCTGCGATACACGACATACACCTATTTCTAGTATAACAAAGGCTTTCACTTGCTATTGAGAAACAAAAAGACTTATACTGTAATATGTTTTGAAGCTCTGTACTGCCCTAGATGTGGCGGCTTTGTCAACAGGAAGAAATGAGATATAGTTCTGTAGTAGTCAGGTGGGAAGGTTCGGGACGTAACCAATAAGAGGGCAGAATTTCCTCGGAAACTAAAGCCATACCAAGAAGTTGTGCCACGTCCACTCAAATTTGTTTAGAAAAGTCATTTTAAAAAGCCATTTTGTACACTAAATTAAAATTAAATTTAAAATAAATTTATAGAGCGCCATTCTCCACTAATTGTCCATGGCAAATGTGTTCTATGTTTTAATACGAGATATCGGCTTAAAAATCACTTAAGGTAGCCTATTTATTGGTAAAAATGCGAGAATCAGATATTTTGCCTGATGTGTCTATTAAGCACCAAATTAAATTGAAATATGAGAAGTATTTTAAAGGGCAGTAAAAAGAAGAAATTTCGTCTACATACCTTCTCCTAATGGAGCCTTTGACTCGCACTCTCCAACAGTGAGCCTCATACTATCCTCAAAAATTACGATCTGATTATACTTTGCTTCAAGACGTATCTAATGATGAAAGGGAAAAAGAGAAATTTCAGTTATGTTGTGAAAGGGGACAAGTCCCACGTGGCTAAGGAGATATCAGGAACAGGACGAAGAAGAAGCCGCAAAAAAGGCAATCAAGGAGTCGGAGGTTTTCGTTTCAAAAATATTTTACAACTTTTTTCCATTTATTTTTTTTCAATTACTTTACTTTATCGTTTTTTCTATACTTCTTTTACCCACGACATTTACCCACACCCACACCCACACCCACGACCCACGACCCACGACCTCTACCCACTACCCAAGACCCACGAACTTTAGGCCTGGTTCAGACGCCGTACTTTTCATGTGCCGAACCTAACTGAATAAGTTCGACTTTAGAGCGACGCTGGCGCGACATCTGATTCAGATGGCGTATCATGTGTCGAACCTAAGTTAAGTTCCACAAAAGTTCGACAGACTCTGTCGAACTTAACGCTTTTGCCGCACCAAACTAAAACTGCCGTACCAAATTGATTCAGACGCCGCTCTTTTGCCGTACTTAATTCATCAGTTAGGTTCGGCACATGAGTGGAGCGGTGTCTGAACCGGGTCTTAGCTACACTCGATATTTGCACATTCTTTTTTTCTTTCCTCATCAAAAGAACGTACAAACTAGCGCAAAACGTGGGTTAAGACAACGCCTCTTCATGAACAGGAAAGACAAAGTAGAGCTTAGATTTCCTACAAACCTTTAATAGACGGAGGGTTTTAGCATGATGAAACTCGCGAAGTTCTAGGAAGACACCCGTATTTTTTTCCCGCATGAATTTATAATTTGATTCAAATCCATTCAAGCGAAACAAGCCGACCTCTCGCTCTGTCACAACCTCATTGACGCTCGCTTAAAGAAATTAATAGAGGTCCACTTGTAGCAAGTCTAAGTAAAAACATCCAGGGGCAAAGCAGAGAACGCGAGCAGAGACTAAAACTGCACGTTAACTAAGGTTCAGCTTTTCACAAATTTCCCGAATCTCTTGAATTTCAGTCACATTCTGGATACCATTAAGAGAAGAATCGAAAGAAGAACAAGGAGTAATAATTACCTGATATGAACCACGAACAAAACTCTTCAGCCTGATATATACGTCATGCCTTTGTCCTTGTTCGACATACATAATGTACACTAGCTCCTCTTCTTCATTCATAAACTGGAGAAAAACATACAGCCAGCCATTATTTGAACGTAATCGTAGTGTAAAGCATCCGTAGATATCACTGATAAATGGACTCTTTACAGTTTGGTCTTCACGCAGTTTTAAGCTTCTGGGTTTTCTGTCTTCTGAATGTAATGGCCCTGTGACAAGAGGGAAAAAAAACAGTAAAGGCTCACATAAGCGCCCCCTTCAAATACGCACCCCCCCCCCCACCACCACACCCCTTTTTACTGAATGTAGGGTATACAGTACGTGTGCCTTCATTGAATATAGTGTAACATATACAAAATGACCTCCTCACCCCCAGATGTTTCAACAGAGATTAGTGACGACAGGACGCTAAAAGCCAAGTATGCCACACACACAAACATTTAACATTTTGGTTAATAATAGATACGTTCCAGTTTCCCTCTTAAATGATAAAAGATTTTTCATTTAAAACGACGACAAAGTCATCTTAAGGTATACATTTTAAGGAACAAAATAAGCACCCCCCCCCCCCCCCCCTTAACCCTCAAAGTCCCAAGAGTGACAAAAATCAATTTTCTCCTGGTAATGTCAATACTTCAACGAGAGAAAAGGGGATGAGAATTAATAAATTGATCAGCTAAAAGATGTGAATGCAAGGGTTACTGACCTACAGAAGAGAGTCTCTCGGTACACGTGACAGGATACGGAGCCAGCCGACAGTCTTGACCCAAGTGAGGAGCACTGACGATGTTGATCTTTTCAAACGCGCATCCATCACTTTGAAAATACGTAGTTTTCACTACAAGATAAGTAACACATCTTGAAACCCACTTAATTCATAACTGGAGAACCTACGTGCAAAATTAGGAGCCCGGCTATCTTGTAAAGCCTTTCATTCTCGATTTCGGTCACCCAAGAGGACACTTTTGGTTAGTCAATCCTTGTTCAGGAAAATACATGGCTGAAAACTTTTATTGTTATACAAATGCACAAGAAACAAAAGATTCAAAGAAAAAGTACCAACACTGAATGCTTTAAGTTACTACAGTGCACAAGTTAAAGCATTGTATGTCTTATGAAACCCTTTTGCGTTTTCATGCAAACCTTAGAAAACATTGGACGTAAAATTTGCAATCGTTAAGTAAAGAAACTCAAACACATCAACTGTGCAGAAAACACCGCTTTTACCCTTTTCCATTAGCGTATGCATCCCATCTTCGGGGGCGTTGAAATTCGCTATTTTAAGTTTCCTCATCTCAAATGACTTCATGAATCCAATGTTAAAAGCAGGATCATATGATCTTCCTACAGCCACACTGTTCCATGCCAAGTCTGGGATTTCTGTTTCCAGCAATACCTTAAAAAATAAATTGAAGTAATATAAGATGTAAATATTAATGATAATGATGATACTGATAATGCGTGATAATGATGATGATGATGGTGGTGGTGGTGACGATAGTGAAAACGATGTTGGTGATGATAATAATGTCAGTAATGACGATGGTCAACTCTGCATATGCGCTATATAGTTCTAGCTTGAGTTTTTGGACAAAATTCTATAGAGTGGCCATTGAAATAAACGCTCCTTTTCATATGGTACTACTTTTTTTTGAGCACTTTGCAAAACTGGAAAGTATCCTCTAATTTAATTACCTAGTAGTCTTGGGACTAAACGAGATCTTTACCTGTGACATAGTTAGCCCATTTTCGCCATATGTCAGTACCCTGTTAGATCTGTTCAGGGACACTGTTACATGAGTCCATTCGTTGAATGACGTAGTTCTGTTCAAACGTAGCTTGAAGGAATAGGCGTCCACTTTAATTCTAATGTAATAGCTACTTTGGTCATACACTAAAGACAGGCTTGTGTTAGAAGATCCACCTCCACCAAAACTAAGGTCCAGCAGGGACATTTCATTATCTACAGAGAAAGTATAGAGTCTCCGGGTCAGTTTAGGTTTCTGGCAAACTGCCCACGTACCCCTCCCCTAAGCCAAAATTTTGCCCTAAGTGAGAAGTAAGTTTTAATGTTGCCTTAGGGGAGGGATAGGTGGGGTGCCCTGAAATGTGGGTACACTATAAACTAGCCAACCAATTCATACGGAAAGTACGAATAGAGGTAGCTTAGTACTCCATTGGGATACGTCTTGTACACTTTTCGAACAGCAGTAAGGGTCTTTTTAAATCCTCCTGAATTAACTACCGAAAACAAGAATGAAGGAAAGGACCAACGCCAAATGATTGATGCACCGCTTAAAGACACAATTTTCCCACCTGAGACGATATCTAAAACACAACAAGCATGATCTTACAAGACCTTGATTTGCGGCCTGACCAGGGCAGGGACCAATCGTAAGTTGTTACCTTTTTCGAAAACAAAAAACGTCTGGGATTCACATGGTGTTGTGTTCCAGCGGTAACCTTCGGCACTCATGCGCAAACACTTCTCAGAATGGGGAAGACCAAGTGCTTCTCCGATTTCACTCCATATGGATTGATGAACGTCTCTGGTCGACAATCCTACAGGGAAAAAAGAATTAAGAAGCAAAGACAAACAACTCACAACTCACAACTCACAACAAATACTCCATAATCACCCCAACTGAACATGGAAAACATTAATTGTCTGATTACGGGCCGCGTTTCTTTAAAACAACCTTAAAGTTTGAGGTTTAAGTAATCCAGAATGCTCAGAGTTTCATGGCAGCAGGTAAAAAGAAAACGTGATGATCGTGATCCGTTCTCTTCATCGTCCCTGGTTTCTTCTTTGATGGGCCACTTTTATAGAGCTGGCTCTTACAAACCAATAGCTATTGATTTGAAATATAAGTAGAATGAACAAGGTTTTTTTTTTTTTTTAACAAAGATGGGATGGCGAAAATTACGGTTTCCCAAAAGTGTCCAAGATGGGGTCTATATTTGGCCACAGAATAGACTATAATGGGGTAGGGGCTCTGAGATGCCAGCGGCAGATACCCAGCAAAAATTAACCCAGGCAATTCCCCGCCCCCCAACCCTGGTATCAAAAAGGTCCTGGTGAACATGGATTTGAAATTGAAGGTCACTTTTAAAGAATTTCGTGAGCAATCCCCAATCTCCCAAGGCCTGAATGATCAATCTTACCAATCCAAGGATTTGATGAAGCGAATCCAGACACAGCATCCTGTTCGTACTTATTTGTAATCTTCACTGGCCTGAATCCATTTGGACTTTGGGTCAAAGAGTCGTTCCAACTTGCAACGTGACTAGATAAGCCATAACACTTTTCGTCGCTGCACAATATGTCTTAGAAACCAGAAAATTAAAAGTTTGAGTCTGAATCACAAAACGAAAGCCAAAAAGTATGTTTTGTCAACTGAGTTAGCCTACTACACTCATTGCATTTTGGTATTTTGGTAATCCTGAAGGAGTAATTGTGTTGTACGGTATAATTAACATAACCGGAGTTGAGAGCAGGTAAATTGTCTAAATTTGGGACAGCAAAGACGTCTTGAGTTTCATCCTTTCGTCAGGATAGATCCCTAGCTCAGGATGACGTTTGCGGCAAACGGCAAACGTGAGATTCAAGTTGAGAAATTCTCAAAATAGGAAACGAGCAGCTAAAACAGTCCAAAACAATGGTTAAAATAGGGTTGTTAAATTGCGGGCGTTGTCCTAACGGACAACCTAAACGGGGTATGTATTGTAGGATTTTTTTCCTAGACAAGGTCAGGGTTTCAAACCCACAACAGTTCACCCATACCCAAATATTGGTTCAGACCCCCCCGCCGGGTCTACAGCACTTTAGAAATAATTAGGCGATAAGACTTTAAATAATAAATGAAATGATATGTGTGGAGAGAAGAACACAGAAAAAAATTCTGAGTTTCAGATGGGAATTGAACCCACGGTCTTCCGTACACTAGTGGGATGCTATAACCACTGAGCTACTGAGAACTCCGTGGTGAGCAGGTCAATTGTGGGCTGACATAACTACCGCATCGCGTAGTCACATTATGTCAAGTGAACACACAATATTAACTGCATCACGCAGTCACGTAAATACTCTATGAGTAATGAATAATAAATGAAAAAGAACTTTTGAATATCTCACCTTGTTTAGGTTTGATTTTCATGGTCACAGATGTAATAGCATGAGAAGTCAACCCAACACGCCAGCGAATTCCACTGGGATAGTTCCCATTTAAATCTACAGATACTGTAAATTGTGAGATACATTTCTTAAACCACCACCCTGAACCCAGTGTGCCTGCACAGTTACGAACTACGTCATCATCGTTATCACTATCACGTGTTGAAAAAAAGACTTCATTTAAGTCGCCTAAAGCGTCCCCTGCAGTCCCAACGTATTTACCAACTATTAGCTGGTAACGATTTTGATTCTGGAGTCTTGTTAACCTCACTTGAAATAGCTTGTACATAGCAAACACTCTATTGCCATTAAGGAGCTGTAGTTCGATTAAGAGAACTGATGGGGTTTGAGTAAGAAGATGAAGCTTTCGAAGACCCAGCCAGAATTCTCCTGCAAGGTCTCCAAAACCATTCTTATAATCCTCAAATCCACGATCGAAGATTTCAGAACCATCTTTGCGCCGTTGAACAACTGTCCATTCTCCGTCGCAGTAAACGTCAAATGTGTCGTTACCACTAGGATCGAGGCTCAATGTAAAAATTCCTGAACGACTCTGTGATCCTTGCCAGTTTTGCGCTTCTATACAATGTCTAGGGTATGCTCCTTTTCAAAACAGATACAAAAACTGACAGTCAAAGGTATTGTTAACTATGTGAATATACAGGCATTGACGGTCATCTATGACGTGTTAATAAAGGTGGTGTCGTGGTGGTGGGTATGTTAGTGATAGTAATAATGATGATGACCATGATGCTGATAACGACAACGATGATAACACAAGATGTAGATCCGAGTACGAGTACGATGTCGCGGACTGCAAATGTGACGTTCAAATTTCCAGCCAGTTTTATCCCAAAGGTCTTTTTCATCCTGTTACTGACCAGTATTTAATAGAGAATTGACAGATTAGATTGATGTAACAAATGATAATGTAAGGCTTGCGAACTTAGGTTTTTTTNCATTGACGGTCATCTATGACGTGTTAATAAAGGTGGTGTCGTGGTGGTGGGTATGTTAGTGATAGTAATAATGATGATGACCATGATGCTGATAACGACAACGATGATAACACAAGATGTAGATCCGAGTACGAGTACGATGTCGCGGACTGCAAATGTGACGTTCAAATTTCCAGCCAGTTTTATCCCAAAGGTCTTTTTCATCCTGTTACTGACCAGTATTTAATAGAGAATTGACAGATTAGATTGATGTAACAAATGATAATGTAAGGCTTGCGAACCTAGGTTTTTTTGAACTTCAACTTGTATTCGATCTAGTGTCTGTGTAGCCTGCGTAGCAAGGCTTTCCAATAGAGTTACTGCGAGAAAATTTGGAGTGAAAGCGCTTGCTAACCAAGCTACAAACTGCAGATAATAGAAAGCTTCATAATATCATTTTGCCCACCTCCCCTCCACTCTTCGTTGACCTTACTACCTATTTCTTCTTCAAAGATTCCTCAAGCGCCACTTGCTTCATTCACAGTCCGACATAAAATTCAAGAACATTTATGAGTATCATGACACTCACCTTGTGGTCTCACTTGAATAGTTCCCAAGTTGATAGCGTTCTTCATTCTTGTGGCACTACAACCGCTTTTATCGTTTTTGTCTCCCATCTGAAATACACCGGGTTATAATAAAATAGACCTCTTCAGTAATAGATAACAGGCATGCGCAGTTAGCGCGTTTTAGGCTATGTGTACACAATGGCTGATCCAGGGGAGGGCCCCTCCCTTAGTTTTAGACCAAACTGAGGCCCCAAGGGCTGAAAAAAATTTTATTGAAATGTCCCTTAAAAATGCTAAATATTTGAGATGCTAATAAAGTTATCATTATCATTACTAAGGCATTTCACACAAATTCACGAATTCTTGTGCGTGCAAGATTAGAATGCGTTCTGCTTCGTTGAACGCGAATATAGTAAAATAGCCTGCGAATACAGCCGTTCCTCCTAGCTCCTCTGCGCTTGGGCGTTTGGCATAGTCCTGGTATAACAGGATAAAAATACTCCGAGTACAATAATGGACGCAATTGCTAGATTAATATTTTGAGAGTTATTATAGTTCAGTCTATAGAACTCCAAACGAGAACGTTTTGCACCAGATATTTGGAACGCGAATTCGGTGAAAAATGAGACAAATATAACCATAAGCTACGGGATAAGAAGAAACGCTATCTCCAAAAATAAAACTGAAGTTCACCAAGAATAAAATGTGAAAGGAGTAGTGCGTTTTGTTAGCAACCTACCATGATTGAGTAAGTTCCTGGATTCAAAGAAGCAACAAAGTAAGTTTCATAATAAGTGACGCTCTGGCAGTTTGGTGTGACCGAAGGTGCTAAGCATCTACACTCTCCAAAGACGGTCACGTAAGGCTGGCGTAACAGCACATTTGAAGCACTTTCACAATATTGGTAAAAACCTAAAATTTCAAAAGTATTGCAAATGATTAGAATCATCTATCAAATGTATTCCACGTTATATTCGACTTCCAGAAATGCTGTGAGGTCAGAGTTAACCCGTTAAGCCCTAAGACTGATGAGCAACGAATTTCTCCTTTCAATACCAATGCTTTATAAAACAGAGTGGTCATGTGAATTAAGGACATGGTCACACTGGATGAATCTAATGGATACTTCAACAAATTCTCCTCACTACTTCTATTGAAAACGTATAGGGATAACAAATGAGAATTAGAATTTTGATGTTAGGGTTTAAAAAACAGTAAAAAAGAAGCAGTTCCCATGTTTAATGTTAAGAAGAGATGGACTCGGTTTCGTAAAAAATTTTCCCAGTTCTGTGGGAAGGCGTTTTGTTCCAAAACCATGGTAAGAAAAGTTTGGGAATAACTGGAAATCATATTTATGTAAACAAGTTTCATTGTAAGACATTTTAAAAAAATGTAACAATTTTAATAATGCCGTGATGCACACCCTTTCGCTTCCGTGTTAAGGTTTTCCTACCCTGGGTGCCAGAGGCTTTTCATGCGCGGTTTCCGGTTTCGGTCAAGTCTTAACGGCTTTGCCGCTCGTGTCTTCGGCCTTCAGCCGAACACGTGTCGGCCTGCGGCCGACAAAACGAAGCTCCCCGTCGCACGTGAGAAAAAACCTCTGGTACCCAGGGTAAGGTTTTCCATTTACTTGACGAAATAGAACTTGCTCTTAGGGACGAAAATCATTTTCTCACCGCGTATTGAGACATTTGCTCCAGGCCAAGTGATCATTTCTGTAGGGCCAATTAATCCAAATCTAGGAGCTCCTTCGTCTACTTGTTTAGGTTCTGTAAGAAGACATTATCAGGTTCTTATTTTCAGTCAGTTTCTTTTTCACAAGGGTTGTTTAAATAAAACGCACCGCCGCCAAAATTAAGTGACGAACCTCGACAAACGTGGGGCGTGTGCGTTTTCACAATCGCTTCAGACCCTCCGATTGACGAGGTCTTGAATTCTCGACAAATTCGTCGAGCAAAACCCATTTTACGGCTGTTTTGTGCAGTTCTCCCAGAAAAGTGAAGTCCTCCCAGAAAATATTTCAATTTTTTTTCTGTTTCATAATCCTTTGTAAGCGTTTTTTTTACCAAGTTGAAAACATGAGGTGTATAGTCTGTATAGACTAGCAAGCCCTAAGATCGTCTACACGGAAGGCTACCTTATCCTTCAATTTTAAATATTTTGGCTAAGGGTAGCTTAGCAGTTTTATTAATGACAAGCATTGAAGGCATGATCTTTAGTTATTCAATTTCTGGCAATCTTTAGTAGTTCGTAGTGTTAAACAATGTAAAGACATCCCCACAAGGTATCCTGTGTATAGACGCCCCCCCTTCCTCAGAAAAAAATCTATTTTTTCTGAAGGAGAGGGGACGTCTGTACACAGGCTACCAGAAGGAAAATAAAATCAATATGGCTTTTACCTTTGCTGCACCCATAGATCTCCATTTTTAAACAAGCGTTATTGTTTGATAAACGATGAGCTGTCAAAATTGTGAGACGCAAGAAGCGAGTTTGTATGGGATGGAGCAGACGTTGTCGAATTACAGAGGTGGAATCGCTATTACCTGCAAATATCTGGAAAAAAGTAAATGTCGAAGAAGATGAGTTTTCTTCAACTTGCATTGGTTGAACGCGTATGCAACTACGTGGTGACAAGGCTGCCAATTGGACGATTAAACTGGAACTGGATGCTCAACATTGTAAGTCAATATTTAAAACTTGAAGGAAAAATGGAATAAACCCAAAATATATAATTTAGCCATACAGTTCAAGGCGTTATAAACAATGTGAAAGATGTAAAAAGGCCGTCTTCGGGTCGGAATATAAGAAGGATATCAATATAAAAATTCTAGCTCGAACAGGCCTGGCAAGATTAGATACCAAGCTCAAGTTTGCCTTTGCGACAACAAAACCGTTATCCCGACTAGGCTAATTCGTTGCTCGCTATACTACTATTATTCTCAAAGCGACTGATATAGGGAAGATCAAGGAAGAATATTGATGGACTGGGGGTACTTTTACTTTTATTTTACTTTTAATCAAATGAGATCGTCATTATTACAGCGGACACGGTATTGAGTCACGTGATCACGCCTTTTGATCACGTGACAAAAGTGGGAACAATCTCTTGAAAATAAATACATCTAATTATAAAATGGGGACAATATTACTTTTCTTTTATATTTTTGTTGGCCACTATTATATCGATTGCGCCTACAGAATTTAAAAAAAGCATTAATTATGAAACGAGGGGTGGAGAGCCAGTTATCCTAAAAACAAAAGAATAACAAAATTTACCGCCATTTTTTGGAAGAAGGTGTATGTGAATACCAAAAAAAGTCAGAAAAATTGCCGTAATTAAAGTTCATTCCGTGAAACATAATAATAAAAAAAGAACAATATTGTTGTTCGTACTCTTTTATGTCCTCCTGCCTCTTTGTATTCCAACCATTGCTCACCATCAGCGCTGTACTCCAAAGAATATGACGTCACCCATGCCCCTTCAAAATACCCTTGAGTGGCTACGTGTGTCACCGTTTTAATGTCTCTTAAATCGATTTGCAAGAACTGATTAAGTGTTTCTTCCGTCGTGCACCAGGCTCCAGTCCACCGGTTTAGGCGTCCATGCCAAGGTTCAAATTTTACTGAATAATTGCTGGCAGATAGCTGGGAATCAGCAATTTCTCCGCTTTGCATCCCCAGTGGTGTGGAACATACTTAATTTGACAATAGAAGGGTTAGTTATTTTTATGTATAACTCGTGGTTTTGCGTCGGGAAGTAAAACACACAAAATAACTTAGCCTGTATACAGCAACCCTCTCCCCTCAGAAAAAAAATCCGATTTTTTCTGAGGGGAGAGGGCGGATGTAAACAGGCTAAAAAAGAACATTTCCGAGTGCCTAAAAAGTCTCACTTTTCAAAACTCTAAGGCTAAGGGCAGAACCTTCCTTGAGAAAATGAATAGTCCAGTTTCGAGTTTGCTACCCAACTGAAGTAAATATATTCACAAATTCCAACGAGAAGAAGACTTGTTTATTACTCTGTCTATCATTGTATTTTCAATTTTGAAACACTTACTTGCCGGAAATATTAATTGAATATTTCACTTTACGTCGAGGCTATGTGGACCCGGTATGAATGTTCTTGGCCTTCGACCATCCAGTTAACGTTTATTACAAGGTGCGACAGCTTATTTTATAACAAAGTGCGATGGTCTGTTATAACAAAGTGCGACAGGTATTACAAAGTGCGATGGGTATAACAAAGTGCGACAGAACAACCCATAAAACGCATACGTGCATGTTCTTTTGTACTCAGGGTCTCAAAACACTAAAACTTACCTGGCAACCTGATGACGCTGGAAATGTCACAAGAGTCTTCGTTCGGACTTTGCTGCTCGCGTATCCATGGAAACGTTCCCAGCCCGTAAAAACCAATCAAACAATACCANAGTTCATTCCGTGAAACATAATAATAAAAAAAGAACAATATTGTTGTTCGTACTCTTTTATGTCCTCCTGCCTCTTTGTATTCCAACCATTGCTCACCATCAGCGCTGTACTCCAAAGAATATGACGTCACCCATGCCCCTTCAAAATACCCTTGAGTGGCTACGTGTGTCACCGTTTTAATGTCTCTTAAATCGATTTGCAAGAACTGATTAAGTGTTTCTTCCGTCGTGCACCAGGCTCCAGTCCACCGGTTTAGGCGTCCATGCCAAGGTTCAAATTTTACTGAATAATTGCTGGCAGATAGCTGGGAATCAGCAATTTCTCCGCTTTGCATCCCCAGTGGTGTGGAACATACTTAATTTGACAATAGAAGGGTTAGTTATTTTTATGTATAACTCGTGGTTTTGCGTCGGGAAGTAAAACACACAAAATAACTTAGCCTGTATACAGCAACCCTCTCCCCTCAGAAAAAAAATCCGATTTTTTCTGAGGGGAGAGGGCGGATGTAAACAGGCTAAAAAAGAACATTTCCGAGTGCCTAAAAAGTCTCACTTTTCAAAACTCTAAGGCTAAGGGCAGAACCTTCCTTGAGAAAATGAATAGTCCAGTTTCGAGTTTGCTACCCAACTGAAGTAAATATATTCACAAATTCCAACGAGAAGAAGACTTGTTTATTACTCTGTCTATCATTGTATTTTCAATTTTGAAACACTTACTTGCCGGAAATATTAATTGAATATTTCACTTTACGTCGAGGCTATGTGGACCCGGTATGAATGTTCTTGGCCTTCGACCATCCAGTTAAAGTTTATTACAAGGTGCGACAGCTTATTTTATAACAAAGTGCGATGGTCTGTTATAACAAAGTGCGACAGGTATTACAAAGTGCGATGGGTATAACAAAGTGCGACAGAACAACCCATAAAACGCATACGTGCATGTTCTTTTGTACTCAGGGTCTCAAAACACTAAAACTTACCTGGCAACCTGATGACGCTGGAAATGTCACAAGAGTCTTCGTTCGGACTTTGCTGCTCGCGTATCCATGGAAACGTTCCCAGCCCGTAAAAACCAATCAAACAATACCATCGCGAGTCTATTTCTACGTTTCCTCCGAGATCACGTACAAGCTGTGATGTAATATTCACAAGAGAAGAGGCTCGTACCGCTGAAGTGTTCATCGTTATTAATACAACGGAGCGTTCGAGTATTATACTGGTAAACTCCTCGACTTGCCGCACTGAGTCACTCACTTCAAAGGCTCTGGTAAACTTAACGTCTCCTGAGGAGAGATGATTCATAAGCCCTCCTTACATTAATTCTCCCAGCCTTAAAAGCCATAAATATCGCATTTACAATAGCTCTTACAAGATACAGCAACATGTATAATGAAAGGTAATGTAAGACTATACCCCCTAGATTAACCTCTGTCAATTACGGGCAGACTGAACAGTATCAAGATTTTCTACTTTATGTTGTTGAATAATTTCGTCGAGCTCTGTGGTCTTACCTGTATCGTAATCGATAACCACAAAGTTGATTCCAGCACTGTGAGGACTGAAGTCTATGCCATTCACTGTGATGTAAGACGTACTGTCGCCTGTCCCTCCATCAGATTTTACTGCGACAGTTACATGACCTGAGGTATAAACGAAATACCACATGACAAATTTCGAAATGCATCAGAATCTCCCCTGCACAGTGATCATTATCAGCAGAGTTACCAAGGTGGCGGTTAAGTTACTTAGTAAACTCGAAAAAAGGTGGCCGTGATTGCCATATTTACACCAATCATTCGTATACGCCTTTGGGATCAGTTAAGAAGTCATATCAAACAAGAAAAAGCAGTGTTTAAGCGAAATAACATGTATCAAACATGAGCAGGAGTTTTTCGTACAATATCAAAACACCGAGTAGTAATATATCAAACACGAGAAAGAGTGTTTCATCTGATATTAAAACACAGAGGTGTTACAACAAACACTAGAGGGAGTATCCGGTATACGAACACCGAGAAATGATACCAAAACAGGAGGAGTGTTTCATATGACACTTAAACACTAAAAAGTGTAGGACAAGAAAGAGTGTTCCGTTCGGTATCTAAACACAGAGATACAATCACACAGGAGTAGGAATGTAACGCAATATTCAGACACCCTTGTCTGTTAAAAAGCTTGGTTATACCTTGTTTATCAACCCACTTTCCGATGTCTGACGTCTAATGGTGATTCTTTTACGGTTCATTTCCGATTTGCTTAATGTATTTTAACTCTTTAAAAGGAATCTGAAGATAGTAAGGTTACCTTTATGCTTAATCCAGAAAGAGACGCCTAGTTCGTCTCCACTGTTATCAAAGTCCGTTTCCCTCTTCTCGATTTTAAGATGACCAGACTCCGTTACATGAAGAGTATCAGCTCCTACGTACAAACCACTCCCTATAGCGTACGTCTGGGTGTTATTTGACTCATCCAGGAAATTTGTACCACTGGATGACTCGAAATTCCACTGGAAACCGACTACGAAAGAATAAAAATGAATGACGATTTTCTATTGCAACGGTTCTATTTTAAACCAAGTTCATATTGTCGTTTCTGATAGGTAAGTATGCACTTTTAATTTTCCCTTCTTCGCTATATGTTACTTGTAGTTTTATGTAAATGTCTACTCCAGTTAGTTGCACGAGGCAGTCACTGCGCACATTTCACCTTTGATGATTTATGTGATTTGTTGTTGTTTTTTCTTTCTCTCTTGTAATGTATGGTAAGTTTTTTAGTAACTTCTTAAAAAAGTGCAAAAAATAAAAATCTGAAATCTGAGTGATCTCTGAGGCGCTAGTTGTAGAATTGCCCAATGCATTATTAAGAATTCCATGCTCGATATGAAGCTAGTACAGTGAGAGCATTTCTCTTGACAATAAATCACGAACTAGAAGACTAACTTTTTTTATATATAAAGAGAGCTCTCTGTAAACTCGGAACTTGAAAAAAAACCAGCAACTACAAATTAAGCGTATTTCTTTGTTGAAATGGCAACGTTACAAAATAAAATCTCACTCAAAAGAAAAACAATACGTTGTTTTTAAAATGCACTGCAATATTCTTGATTAAAATGTGGAATTATGAAAGAAGTACTTGCGTTATAAGCCATAAATACACTCCCTTGCAAAGGCCAATGAACTTTCAGGTTTTTTTTCAAAGCACATTAAGTTTGAATATTGGTACTCTTTAAAAACTAAGACTTGTAATATTAATGTACAAAACTTTTAGTTGATACCTCGACAACCATATATCTCAATCCTCATACTTATGTGCTTATTCCAAGTCACTGGTTGAAACCGAATGTAACGCGTCTTAATTGGTGGATTAAGCCCATGATACACAACAGTGTCCTCATCTATGTTACCAGGAAAAAGCTAAAAATAAGTGAAACAACAGATTAAATGTCGAAAAACGAAAGGGCACTCCGTGTTTCTCCTGCCTATCATGACGAGCGACGATATTCAAATGAAGAAAGACATGAAGAAATCAGATTAAAAAAAAAACAAACATGTGTAGCCGCGTCAAAATGGCGGGAAAATTGCGCGGGAAAACATGTATGGACTGGTTGAAGTGTCTGGTTGAGAACATTACGAACGGGCAAGAATGCAAAACCAAACCAAATTCGACTAAAAATTCAGGGGGTGCGGGCGAGATCGATCGAAGGTCAAAATGATTTTACTCTAACGCTAATGGTCAAAACGCTCGTGGTCAATTTATGAGTAATAGAAGGTATAACGCCCTCCAACATGATCAGATTGCGTTCTGTGCATTCATTCTACGTAGCAGCACAAACAAATGCTGCTTACATACGTGCGGCACATGCGTAATAACAACTTGGAGATTAGGACTGCGGACTCCTCTGGTCGCCCCCAAAAAATCAGCTCTGACGCGTATCTGTCTTAAATAGCATCATTTCAGTGCTAAATAACGTCTTGTTGCTCTAAATCGCATTATTTTTTTTAGCACACGGACAAAAATCAGGATATGTAAAAACATTTCCGGTTCCACTTTTTTTTAAATCCGCCTCCAAGATCAATAAAATGTACATACTGACTAAATTCCTATAGGCTGGGCGCTCAAATTGTGCGATTTCAAAATGGATGTAATACAGTTCTAATGGATAGAACTTTGTGTCGTGCAAGATTGGTCTGAAGTCAGATTTGTGGCTTCAAATCGAACTCGAGCCATGAGCTCCACTCAGTTCAATTATTCTTTCCAATATGGGCATAAGAGTTACGAAATATGATTGAGGCATGATAAAAGACAATGAATTGTGTATTTCACCTTTTCTGTCATTTGCCCTTTCTCTCTGTAAAACGTAAAGTTTATTCCATCATTACTGTACAACAGTTTATATTTCGTGACCCATTGTCGATGTGCCCCATTTCTTCCTTGTGATGACACACCTGTGATTCGAGTAAACTGAGAGCCTAAATCCACCTGGAGCCATTGATTATTATCATTTCGACCGGCGCACCAAGCTCCGACTTTGCTTCCTGATGCCTGAAAATGTAGCCTCCCCTGCTCTGAAGCGTGATTGGCATCCCACTGAGACGAAGCACTTATTTTTCTGTCAGGAATTTGGCCATTTTCCACGCCAAGTGCTTCATGACATTCTAAAGACACCATTACATTTTTTTAATCATTTATTGGTATATAAAGCTATAAGCATATGGGTATGTTTTTCAGGGGAAGAGCAGCTACGACGGCAGCGTTTTTCAAACTACGGCGAGTACACACAACGACTACGGAAACAGCAAGAAAAACGCCAATAAAAAAATACGTCAAATGAGCAAATGCCCGGATTTGGAAGGTATTTTCTGGATCGGGGATTTGACCACAAAACAGTGCGGGATTCAAGAAACGTTAACGGGATTTAACCAAAATACAGTGCGGGATTCGGGAAACGTTAACGGGATTTAACCAAAATACAGTGCGGGGTTCGGGAAACGTTAACGGGATACGGGATTTGACTGCTACCCAGGAAGCAGAATTGCACAGGATACGGGATTGGGAAGAACGATATTGAGTCATCACTGATGTAAGTTCGAGACGCGTTCTCGTGTAAAAGGAGCGGGAAATGTGGGATTAGGACACCATTTTCCAGACCCTATATAGCTAGCACGTTTTATGTATTTAAAAAGATTCTGAGATATTTTTAATACTCACAATCTTTACATAATAATAACGACAACGAATATATTTTTTTCACTTACCCGAATACCTTGAAGCAGGAACTGCGCATACCCAATGCAGGCTCCAGAGGAACAATGAAAGAATCAGCCACTCATTCATTACCCTGGTGGTACATTAAAACATCACCTAACGTTGGGTTCGCCGCCCTATATTCGGATTCCGGAAACCCGGAAATTTGTGCTTATGGAATCTGGAACCCTGGGCTTTGGAATACGGAATTGAGCTCAAGGAATCTGGAGTCCAAGTCCCATCTAGCACCTAAAATCCACAATCAACGGCGTAGAATCGAGAATCCAAAACTGTCCTGGATTTCCTTTTATGAGGCGATAATAGAATGGATCCCTAAAACATGGAACAACAGCGGCACAATCCTGTTTAACGTTCTTGCAGCGTTTCAAGGTTTAACTCATACAGAAAAAGTGGAATTTACTAAGCAGAGATTGTTTTCATCAACAAAGAAGGCTCACCGCGCATTTTTGCACTCACATGACCTTAGATAGTACTAAATAAAAAAGATCTGATGAACAGATTTCCGTTTTACCTGGATAACTTAGTTCGTATTTTAGCGAAGAACGTTCTAGTTTGCAATGGCTTTCTAATTACTCGCTTATCTAGAAACAGGCAATCATTTATTCAAGAAACCTCTCTACATGCAATTTTACCGCACTTGCAGATTTTTAAAGACCAAAAAATAAAGAAATATGAATTAGCCGAGTAAACTGACTTTTATCTCCTCGAAAAATCAGTTGAACTTACCACTTGATTTTCACACAAATATCTTGAGCTGCTTAAATGAAAAAGCGCGCTAATTCTGTCTTAAAAAATCTGCCAGTTAGTTACATACACGCAAGAAATACAGACAAATTAGGTTAACAAAAGACATTTTCAGACAGCTCGTCATCAAAGTTGTTAAATGATGTAAGTGCTAAGGGCTTCACACCTTCTTTTAATGCTAAGACCATAAGAATAATGTTTCTTGGTCCTTCTAAATTAGGATAATTAAAACGCTAGGTCATTATGACAGAGAAATGTTAAGGTGTCTCCTTCGACGCACCTTGTTTCTATCAAAAAAGATCTCAACAAAACTAGTTGAACTTACGATGGAATTGTTAACTGATCGACATATGTTGTTCCAATTGACTGATAAAAGAGCTAAAAACAAACTATGCTTCCTTAAATAAAGTTATAAACAAAGAAAAAAAAACGTTATTGAACTTGATTGGGAGAGAAACTTCATTTATTGAATGTCTTTACATCATTTAGTTTGGTGGGACATCAACGGCTAATTCTACCGAAAAGAAATTTTGTGCACACATTATGAAAAACTCTTAATTACAGTCAATTGACTCTAATTTTTGACTTTTTTATTCAACAATACCTAAAAACTGAGGTAATTAGACCCAATTAAGTAAGTCAGGCAAAACCACAACAAAACAAGAGATTTGCAATTTCAGAAGCTGTTTTTAACGAATCTTTCCAACTTTAAAACAATTATAAGATGCAAGAGAAAAAAACACTGGGATTTTTATATATATCTCACTACTTAACTAAAATATCTTTAACCTCAAAAAATATAATCAAAAATACGAAATTCTAAAGAAACAAATACGAAAACGAACGCATCACTAGATAACGCTCTGACGCGTTGAAAACTTCTGATCGCGGGTCTTAATCTATGGCCTAACAGAACAGAGCTGTTTCAAAAAAGTTAATAATATTCATATAAACTGTAAGGGAACGTAAAAATTTTGTCAAAAGAAACCATTTAATCTGCAGAGCCTGTTCCGCCTTGCCTGTAGATAATTCAAATGAGGAGTCAACAATCCGACTACATTGATTGTTTTATTCTACCATAAAATTGTCTCCTTTCAGGGTAGGTTGAAACTATAATGTACAATAAATACTACTGAGGAGATAACTACGAAGGCTAAAATAAAATCTTTAATTTACCTGAATCTAGTTCAAGTTCACGCTTGGTGCCTGAGCACGCTGCTAGCGAACGATCCTGGCTGAGACTAATGTGAACAGACTCTGTTCAAGCACTCAGACCAGACGTGGGTGCTGATCTGTACTAGGTTACACGGTAAAGACGTTGTATTCAGGCACAAAGCAGCGATTGCTAGTGTTACGAGTTTACCATCGGTTCCGAGAAACCTTATTCACAGTTCTCGCATTTCGAAATGCCATCTGGCACAGCAAAATGGAGCAAATGTGTACTGTACAGTATCATTACCTATAGTCTGAACACAACACAATGTTTTTCTGATTTGCAAGATCTAGTGCTTAGGCATCAAGTTTGAACAGGACTTGACTTTACGAACTGACCAATACAAGAAAAATACTTCAGCAACATTAAAGAAAATACCACACAAACAAAGATTACATTTACATTAATGCCGAAAGGGATAAAAATTGACAAGCAAGTTGACAATTTACTCTCATTAAACGTATCATGATCTTGAGCTTTGATAGTGAAATTGTTTGTTTCGTGACAAATCGCTGTCCCATTTTCACAACTGTACTTACGAGATGTTAATTTTTTGAGACCAAGGAAGTACAGTCTAACCTCTCCTTACGGACACCTCTATAATACGGACACCTCTCTATTACGGACAGTACCTTTGGTCCCAGAAATGCCAAAAATCATACATTCCCTACCTCTATAATACGGACACCTCTGTAAAGCGGACACTTGGTTCTGTCCCTTTGGTGTCCGTATTAAAGAGGTTTGACTGTATTTGGCCAACAAATTATCAACTTTTAGGAAGAATATGTTATTAACTATTAAAAATAAAGAACCTATTCTATTTCAGAACAGATTGTACATTACATAATACATGTTGGTAACTTCTTTCTGGAAAGATGTGATCAATATAAAAGTTCTCCATTTGAGGCAAAGAATGTTATCTGAGGCCATTTCGTTCCCTCTTGCGTTCATTTGTACATTTTGGACAGTACCTAGTGGATAGAAAATGACTTTATATTAACTTTGAAGCCCTAACGGTAACATGTATTTTCTTTACATCCCACATACATTTCATTTTATTCAATGGCTGCTTGGCTCTTATATCCCACTACCGAACATTGTTTTGTTGGAGCTGGGTACGACGATGTTGTGACGTCACTGAAGGAGACCATTCCCGCGCACTCATAAGCATAAGGCTGTGAAGCGAGAAATTAAAAAGGGGAAAGTGTTTTATGTGAGCCAAATCCTTCTTCTCTTGTTAAATTCAGCGCCCGTATCACCCCAGAATGGAATTTTTAGGGGCCCGATACCTCTTTTAGGATCGGCTGTATTGTTATAATCGAAAATAACGCAGGCATCGGCATGGTTCCACAGCAGTTTGTGTTGCTCGCGTGAAATTAATATACTCCCATGACGTCACAACTAAGCCCTGACCAGATAGTGCTTGGTATAAATGATTGCATTGATGGGGCTGGAACTGCCAAAATTTTAAACTTTGAAAATAATAAAAAATAAAGGCAAGATGCTACTTTTTCGCACATTTTTTAAATCAATAAAGCCAATGAGCAAGCTCTCCAACTATGGCGAGCAAAGCGAGCCTTGAGCGAATGTGTGTCTCCTTTCATGTGCAGCTCTCACGTGACTGCTTAGACTTCCTCAAATGGACAGTTTGCTCGCATGTGCAGGCTAAAAACAATATGAGATTTCCTTTTTAACAACAGACAACTTACCATTTTCCTTTTGGTTTGTTAGTGAGTCCCACACACTGAAAGTGAAACCATTCGATGGGGCACTGTGGAGAAAAAAAGTGTGTGATACATTTATTAAAACACTTAACCCTTATCTTAATCATCTAAATACTAAAAAAGTGACACTGGTTGAAGAGTTTATGGTTGGAGTCAAAAAAGCTTCCAACATCTGGTCACTAAAATTAAGAGAAAGAAAGTGAAATTGTCTTGATATGATAACAAATAATTACATAGCAAATTATCTTTGTGGCGGAAATGCAAGTTTCAGAAATGACTCTTGAAATGAGTGAAAGACACATGTATACATATGGAGTGCTTGCCAGTGTAATTGTACATACCTCTTCATTGTCACATCCAATCATTTCTCCAAATGAAACCTGAAAAGAAAAATGAAAGTAAACATTATGGAGAACTAGTGGGGAACAAGTGGATATATTGTGAAGAAAATAGAGAAGTGATGCAATAAAATAAAATATTTATTTTAAGTTGAAACGATATACCCCCACCCCCTCCCCCAACATAAAAAAAATTCCAGCTGCAGTTTATGTACCTTCCACAGAGAGCTTTGCATATTAATGAACTCATTTTCTTAAAAATAGATGCTCCAAGTTTCAGCTTCTGTAATATAGCTACTGAAAATTGGCCCCAAGTGTGCTGTTACAACAACTACAGCCAATATTACATTTGCATATCAGGTGACTTCAGAGTGAGCCAATTTTTTTCACACATGAGTGAGAAACTCATTTATGTGCAAATACTGTACAATGCTTCCCGAAAAGATGCTTTAAGAGGTGCTACTCCTCAAAACTTATAACATCCGCAAGCTCTTGGAAAAATGTGATAAGAAACTCTTCAAGAAAAGTAGCAGTGACAGTTCTCATCCATTGTACCCTATGTTGCCCCATGCCAAAGCTTCCTCCCTTAGATTAGGATGAAGTACTATTCAGTTACCCAAGATAAACACTGAACATTTTACAAGTAGTTTTTTTTAACTGGCTTAGTTTCAGATACAATTTAGCACTATGAGAAATTCTTATTGTAAGTACCTTAATTTATCTTTTAAAAATTTCATGTAACATTCTATATGTATTTTATCGAATGAATAAACACATTATTATTATTATTATTATTATTATTATTATTATTATTATTATTATTATTATTTCAACCCACTTTAATGACTCATGAGATACCCATCGCAGAAACAAACTACTTCAAAACCACTGTGATGTGGCTGTGGGGTACAGTGTTTGGAATATTGTCTGTAAAGAATCTGCATGACAGGATGAAAACACCTGATGCAAAGCCTTTCTTAGAATCCATCCATGATACTTAACAAACTCATTTAACCCCAAATATTGACATACAAATTCTCCAAACTGATCTCCATGTTCATTTCCTTAAAGAATCAGTTGAGAGAATTTGATAGATCAAAGAATTTTTTTAATTGGTGATCGATCAATTAATTCTCACAACCTTTCCTCTTGATTGTGCATTGATGTTGTTGGGAGAAAATTGATGTTGATTACTCTTGGGACTTACAGAGCTAACTTTAACATTAACAGCAGCATACCTGATTACAAAGACAGTACGTTGGTTCATTTGGATCAATTGGAAACTCAGGTGTAGGTGATCCTTGGTTCTTTGACTTGCCCCTAAATTACAGAGAAAATACAGTAGCAGTCAGAGAAGAAAGAACACTGCCATTACCTCTACAAAGAAACGGTGGTCGCTTAAGGTGATGGATGCTACACGGGACGATTCGCAACGACGATTTTAAGTGCAACACATCATTGCAATGTTGTAACTACTCGAAACAATGTCACAACAATGTTGCAACGCTGTGTTGCACTAAAAATCGTTGTTGCGAATCGTCTTTACAGGAGGTGACGCTTATGAGAATCAATCCATAGGGGGTGTTTTCCGAGAAAAGGTCCTGACTCATATAGTTTTCAAAAAAGAATTTACTGCATTTAGTTTCTAAGTTATGGCATGTTAAGCTCCATGTTGTTTAAAAGTTATTTGTATGCCATGAGTAGTCTAGTACATACAGTGATTATAAAGATCACAACATGTGTCAAATGGTCACTTAACAATAGGTTATTAAAAATGGAAAATTTGAAAAGCGTTTCCTCAAAATAGTGGTCAGGGTCACTCACAAGAGGTGGTTGTTTGCAAGAGGTTCCAACTACAGCAATTTCACTGGGAAAAAATTTTATTATTTCATATATTCCAAAGAACAAAAATTACGATATTATCACTTAGAATACATTTATAGACACATGGACTACAAACAAAAACTGGGAAAATTTTGCTGTTTTTGATGACTGGTCACTTATGGGAGGTTGAAACTTATGAGAGGTAGTTGCACATGGAGGTACGAATGTGCTAGAAACGCTTACTACCTTATTTTGTCCTAAAAGTCCCGGCCCTGGTTTTTCAAAAGTTGGACAGTTCTTTCCACCGGATAACTCACTATTCAGCAGGCCCAGGTTGTTCAAACATTGGATAGCACCATCCATCGGATAAATCACTATCCAGTGTATAAGTATTAGGGAAACCAATTACGCTATCCGCTGGATAGTGATTTATCCGGTGGATAGCGCTATCCAACTTTTGAACAACCTACAGCAGATAAGTATTTGGACAAACTATAGCTTTATCCCCTAGATAGAGATTTATCCAGTGGATAGTGTTATCCACCTTTTCAACAACTGGCACCTGACCTTAATCTTTTCATACTCACTTTCTACTGGTCTTTGCTTTCTTTTTAACAGGTTTGATGACATCTGACCCACCAGCACCACCTGACCCACCCCTCCCTTCAGAATCATGTTCATGTTTGTCATGGTTACGCTGTCTTCTGTTTCCTGAAGAACAGAATATTATCAGACTATGATCAATATTGATAAAAGCTTCTGCAACAAGGACAGGAGATGGCAAGAAATAAAGTTATTCCCCAGAAAACTGTGGAGTAAATCAAGTTCACTAATACGTCTATTTGTTGCGGTTGTTATCTTCTTGTTCTTGTTTTTGTTATTAATGATTATTATCATCATTATTTATAATATTTTATTGCTATTATGATTATTATTAATAAATATTGATTGGTTAACAGGGACAAGATTTTTTAATGAGACAAAAGCATCATCATCTGCAGCCGTTTTGGATGGCCACTAGCATAATGAGGTGAAGAATCACATGACATAATTGAGTCAATATCAAAGAATACATTAGCTTACGTTTTTTCTCTGTGGGCTTTGCATGGTGTTCTTCCAGAATGACTAAACAAAGTAACAAGCAAAAAAAAAAACAAATTTTAATGCATCAACAACTGTACTTAGCATATAAAGTGTACATAAAGAGGATGCTGAGTTGGTACCTGGCTGGGCTTCCTGTTTCAAGAGTGGAGGAAGATCCTCATTCCTACACGTGTCAAGGTTTTCCACATCCATTTCAATCTGCCGAGTGCGAATATCAACCTACCGGATGAATAAAAATGGTTAATAGGTGTTTTGTGGGCTGCTTGGAATTCTTACTTAGGCAACCACTTCATACACATAAACGTCATACTGCTCTCACCAGATCAATCATATTTCCAACAAGTTGTAACTTGTCATCTCCATATTCCTGGCTTTTAACAAGTTTTCTTTGTATCTGAATCAAGTATTTTCGCCTGGCTGTGCTGTCCTTTTCTTTGAAGAAATTATTGACCAGCCTTTCAAGTTCTTTTAACCTCTCTGTGAGAAAAAAAGTACATTTAAACAGTTTTGCTGTAAAAATCTCAAGCTCCTTTTTTTCTAGAGATATAAACATTACTGCTATGATCAGGCTTACTACTATTGCACACTGACACAGACTTTTTATTATTTGTACATGCAACCAACTTGATTCAATTTCTTAAATCTTTTTTATTATTGTACCTTAATACCATGCACTAGTAAAACAATTTTAACATTTAATTTTCCCTTTGACAAATAAACGACTTAAAAAAAAAAATAGTATTAACCTCTCTGTAAGAAAAAAGTAGATTCAAACAGCTTTGCTTTAAAAATCTCAAACTCCCTTTCTTTTCAAGAAAATAAATTGCTAAGATCAGTCTTACAACTGTTGCACACTGACACTTATGTGGCTGTTTCAAACACAAATAAAATAGTTGTTCAAAAGATGGTGCAATCCACTGGATAAATCACTCTTCAATGGATAAGTATCAGGGGAACCAGTTGCGCTATTCACTGGATAAATATTTATCCAGTGAATATGTTACAGGTCAAAATATTACATTCAGGCTAAATTTTTTAACCTAGGATAATATTCTCAATTTCCTTTGTCTCTATGCATGTAGCATAATATAATTAAATATTAATATAATAATGCATGTGTAATTAGGACTAGGAGACAAAGGAATTTTGAATCAACCTACAGGTCAAAAAATTGTAACCTGATTTTAATTTTGACCTGTAACAGATACAACAGTAACGCTATCCACCTCTTGAACAACCAGGGCCTGGTCTTTAGTCCTAAGAGTGACCAACATCAATTTTCTCATAACAATATCCATACATAATTAAAAGAAAAGTTTATGAGAATAAATAAAATGATCACCCAAGGGAAAATGCTTTGATCTTTGAACAAATTCTCTCAACTTATTCTTTATGGAAACGTATGGAGATCAGTTTGGAAAATTTCCATGTGGATATTGGGACTTAAAGGGTAAATACTTCTTCTCACCCTGGTAATGAAGATCCAACTCTCGCATCTGAGAAATGTTCCTTTGCACATCATCAGGAAGGGATTCTACACCTGTTTAAACCAGATTGGATTGGATTGTGGAAGACAAAATTATTGCAATCATTTGTTTCTATATCACAAATCTGTTTTCATTTAGCAGAACATTTAACATTTAAAACAATGGCACAAGTTTTGATTTAAGAAAACATTTTTAATATATATTTTACTACAAGGTATTTCAGGAAACAGGACAATGAAAAACATGAAATTTCAAGGCTATGTTCTAAGAAAAATTGAAGAGAGCCCAGTTCCTAAAACTGTCACACCCAGGGTGCCCAACATAGGATTTTTGTGAAGAAAACTAAGAGTACTGTTATTGCCCAATAGCAAAAGTAGGGCACCAGGGAACCAGGCGTGGCTGAGGGTAAAATTACGACAATTGACATGACCTTGTAACAACAACATAAAACTAGATGAAATGGCACCAACCGGCATCAAGATGGGCTGAACACCAACAAGGACAAGGCCTACTATTCAAAACATGATATGGCAGTGTTTGAAATTCAGACTAGGGACATATGTACCCCCCTCCCCAGCCTCCCGTTAGGAGGACCTTGCTGCTAAAGCAAAGCCCTGAATTTAATTTGCAATGAAACAATGTGATAATTTTTTTATGGAGCTGACAGTTGATCTGACAGTCTTTCATGAAATTTGACAAAAAAAAAACAGCTTTCACAAAAATATAATAGACACAAAGTGAGGTAAGATTTGTGCATACTTTTCACGACCCACCCAGAAAACAAACATGATATAAAATATCATGCAACTATTTAATAATTCATCAAATTTTAATGTTTTTGGCAACCGTCGACAACTTTATTTGGGCGCGAGATCTGATCACGTATATCACTGAGTGCGTGACAGCTTGAAATGTCACATTACCTTCCGTAACATGACACTGAAAGCATGATTAAGGCAAGGCTTGAATTTTCTCGAGATCACTCGATCAGTACCTCTCGAAAAAATCGTCAATCCATCGCAAGAAATAAGGCATCTTGACGTTGGCGTGAGCCAGGTTTACAAGCAGGAGACTTGCGAATTTCGTGGATATAATGGCCGTGGTGAGATTGGGAAATCGGGCATCAATTTTCAGAGGAACAGAAATAAACCCTACTATACCTAAAATGCAAAAGTAATTACTTGAAAGAGCATTTTGAACATTGCGTGCTGATTTGAGAAAGCTATTTTGGTCAAAGCCTCTGTTTACTTTCGCCTTAACGCATAATCTTTCGGTTATTAGCTTAACAGAGAACGAACGAATATTAAATGACGGCCATAAATATTTCGGAAGTCTCTTTTTCAAGTTTCGACTCACACAGGATGTACATATCTGTTGAAGGAAGGTTACACAACTGTAGTTGCAAGTAAATCTAATGAATATAAGGAATATGTTTTTTCCCAGTGGATAAAAATTCTTTAACTAAAAACATAAAAGGGTAACATTTTTTACTTACATTCCAAGTAGTTTTCGACGTATGTCGCGGTGGCAGAAATAGAGGACTCGCTAGACTGAAAGCAAGAAGAAAAAAAATTATATTGAAACCACTCAAGACATAGTAATTCTCACCTTTGTTACCATGATTACCTTACCGTCATTCTGTGGCATAACAAACCAGGGAAAAAGCTTAAACTTGAAAGCAAATTTTCTTTCCAACAACGGCTATCGTGTCCGACGCGGGCAAAACAGTTTAAAGCTTTGTAACCGCGCTTGCAATTTACTTCCGGTTAATGCTCTCAAATATTTTGGCCAAATTTCCGGTTAGCACCGCCTTTCATCACATGTGAAAACATGACTGACAGTTTCAACAAGGTTGTGTTTATGTCACGTTTCCTTCTTGAAGTTAATAGAATGTTCTGCGTCGTCATTCAAGGACCCTGAAGTGAGAGTTTTCATAGATAGATCACTGTTTTTGACTCTTGATCATTCTCCTCAGCTCGGAAACCTCCCTACAAGTATTTCGAAACGTTTCGGATATTGACGTAGACTTGGATTTCCCTCGATGCTTGTAAGTGCAGTGCTAGCCGTTCTTCAGCTGGCATTCTTCAGTCGCCTGAATTTTTTTGACAACGTATGCAAGTTTTTACAGTTTTGCTCAAGTTCCCTTTTGTTTGTTTTGGTTTTCGTCTTTGATTTTTATTATTTGTAGAGCACAAAAAGCAATTCTACAATGAAAGAAGTTGGGGTTGTTGTACACAATGTAAAGCAGCTTAGGATTGAATCAAGCGGAAAACCAACTCCAAGGGGAACACAGAGAGATAAAATGGCTGCCAACTCTCGACGCCGGAAGAAGGCAAGAAACAAAAGGTACTGGTACAAAACTATTGATTTTATTTTCATTTGGTATTTTTTTATCAGTTATCAGAACAGGAAGTAAAATTTTTTAGAAGAGGGCGAGGTATACGTGCCGGGTGACAAACTGTTGATCGTTATGGAGAACTTTTTCGACGTTTTTATTATACTATACAATAAGTTGATATTGGGTAATAGATGAAACACCAACCGGTGTTTACAAAGGAACTTGCATTCTATTAAAAAAATTAAAGGAAATTTTACAAAGGGTCGGCGGCAGTAAAATTTAACTTGGAAGTGTACCATTTTCTAATTTAGGGATTACAACTACAGTAGAAAACAAGCTTATGCAAGTTATTGTTTTAAAAGAAGCTAAAGTACTTGAGTCGAAATGTGAAATATGCAACTTAAAAATTTTAAAGCAACCAATTCAAATTTTGAAAGCTGTTATGTTTAATGTATAGATTAATGATGGAATTCATCAGACAATGCTTGTATGTTATTTGTGATCTGATCTACTCGGAGAGATAAAAATAAGATATGTAATGTTTATGTCATCACCCAGCCTGTCTCAAATAATGAGTACTTCCTGATCAAACCTTCCAAAATATATATATCATATATCCAAAAAAAATATACAGTGGCAGATCCAGGGGAGGGCCCCCCCTTATTTTTAGACCGAACTGAGACCCGAAAAGCTGAAAAATTTTTTGGGGGAGACCGCCCCCACCCCCCCTTATCTAAGGGTCTGGATGACCGGGCCTCCCTGCTTCTCTCAAGGTCTAGATACCGCACTGATATAGATTTCTTTTTTGGGATATGGATACATTTCCCTCATTCTCTATAATAATACTGTTATACCATGCATCTGTACCTCTCCTGCGGAGGGTTATTGGTTTGAATCACCCCCACCCCCCTTTGGAAATTCCAGTTTAGGTACAGACTTTCCTTTCAAAGTAATAGCCTTTTTAAGTCCTCTTCTCTTTGGGATTTTCATTGACCCTCTATTGGGCAGGAAGGGATAATTTTTGGTCCTTAGGAAGACTGCACAAATTGTTATAATTATTAAGGTACGTAAAAAAGTAGCAGTTTGTATTTAAGGAGAGTTTTCTCATGTTGTTTTATGAAGCCAATGGAAGGAATTTATTGCAATAAATTCAAGTAGGATAATGCTTGTTTCTGTTAAAATTCTGTGGGTGATGATAACATACATCCACTGACCAGGGAAGAAGGGCTAGTAGCTGAAGAGTTTCACAGCCACTACTCTAGAACAAAGACAATTTTACATTGGGTGAAATTGCATTGGAATGAAGCATCCAGAGTACCTGTATCGGGTAATGGAAAACAAATGAACAACATTAACAAGATGGTTTTCGCCAGGGGTTTTCTTTCCTTGTTTCCAATTCCTCTGACATCAAATGGACACTCTGACAACGGATTCAAAAGTGTGGAATTTTAAGTTAAGATGGAATCCATTAGGAAATTGAGTAATTTTAATTTTCAATGGATGAAAACCTTGTACCAGAATACTTTCAATCACGTTGCATTCTTTTATACACTTTTCGAGGGCTATAAATGTAGTAAGTTATAAGTCTATATGAAATAACTCCGAAGAAAATGTTCTAGCGATTATATGTATGTGTAATGAAATGGTGACGAGTGAAATTATTCCCTAATTTCACGAGTATACCATTTGATTACCTATTAATATCATGGGTGACGAATTACGTTTGCAGTCTTGGATTTTTGACATTTTTATCCTGGATCGTATCGATCGAGAACTCCTGCACTCTCTCGAAGAGAGAGAATTTGGCTTAAGTTCAGAGTTTTTCGACAAAATACTTGCTCTTTCATGTGTTCAGGTTTTCTAGGGTTAGGGTTGTTATGCCCTGGCATTTTCATTCATGATATTTTAAGACTTTGTCGCCATCTGGACACTGAGACGTATGGAAGGTTGCCATGGCAATTTTGTACCTTGAAATTACAAATTATTGTTAAAATTTCGCGCCAAAATTAAAGAGTAATTCGTCACCTATGATATTAGGCTTGAAATATTCTGGTATAACGTTTTTGTCCCCTTGAAATTAAATTACTCAATTTCCTGATGAAAAAAATGCATCTTAATCACATTCGAAAGAAAAATTGTATGCAAGCTGACTTCACCAAGCATGAGTCAATCATATAATTGAAACTCTGTGGAGCAAAGAAGAAAGGAAAGGTTTACATTGGATCATAAGAAAGAGAATTGTAAGCAGGACTGAAATGCTGTTTTCCCCATGCTGTCTACTTCTAATTATGATAGGTGAAAACTAGCCATTAGAGTTTTAATTCCATTTCTTTCTGATTCCCCCCCACCCATTTCAAATGGGGATACCCCCACCCCCCAGGCATTTCACCACAACAGATCATAAGTAATGGAGTTGTAAGCAGAATCAGAATGCTTTTGTTTATACTACATTCTTGTCTAGTCTGTAGGCCTCATTTTCCGCTTGGCCTATGGGTTCCGGGTCACATGATCCACCTCACAGAAAAAGACTACATTGACCTAAAAGGCCTAGGAAGACACTGCACATAAACTAGGCAAATTACACTCTACAATAATTCTGATTATGACTCCAACTCCATTGCAAGTGAAAACCAACCTTCAGAGGTTTATTTTTATTTTTCTGACGTTCTGAAGTGCAATAGCCAAAGTCAACCATTTTTTGTTGAAGATACTGGCTTTGAAGAGGTATTGTCTTTCTGCTTCTGAACATCTGGGAATTATGAAGCTCCTCTGCTGTTCTCCACATTTGATTGATGTCCATCTCACACTTGAGATTTGAGAGCCAATAACTAAATTTTTAGTGGGCTCAATTTCTTCTGTATCTCAAGTCTGGTCTTTGATCCTCCTCAAAGAGAGATGAGAACATTAATTTTTCAATGGCCTTTTTTTGACACAGACACTTCAGTTCTGTTTCGACTTTATAATGAATCCATCTTTATTGGTCAAAGACAGGCCCATATATATGGGCCTTAAACTGTGCAGGTATATAGCACTAAAACAAAACTGAATGCAATTATGCTGGCAATTTGGCAAAGGGCTGATGTAACAAATTTAGTCCTCCTGGGACAGTGTAGTTTTGGCCCTGAGGAAGGCTAATTTTGTTAGGCAACATATTGTCCTGAAATAAATCAGCCCTTTGCCATATTGCGAGCCTTCAAGTGGCGTCTGGCAGTAGCATCTCTACATTGGAGATCCGGCAAGAAAGTCAACCAGTTGGTTTTAGTTATGCGTTCAGTGGACATTTGCATTCAACAACAACAACAACAACAACAATATTTATTTTCATTCCCATTTACAAGTGGTTTTTATATAGCACTGGTGCCCGCAAATTTAGAATTAAGGCAACCCATTCACCAGTCTATGCTCATCGACACATTACACCCTTAACTACAACTTGTGAGCGAAATATAGGCAAACGCAGCCTCTTTAAAGTACAACAGCTTTTTGTAGAGGTTTATAACAAGCAGGTGAGGACAATATTGGTTAGGGGGTGGTGGGGAGGGGGACCTAGGGGAGGGTCTGTTCTCATAAAAGGAGGGACAGGTGGTGCTTTATCTTGCTGGCAAAAATGCTGAAACCTAGAAGGTCTGGAGGAGTCCTGGAGTTAAACAGTCTTGAGAGTAGTCGGCCAGGGGGGTCTTCGACCAATATTTGGGTATAGGTGAGGTGCTGAGGGTTTGAAACCCTGACTCTGTTCAGGAAAAGTGCAATAACCTCAATTTTATTACCCTGCTTAGGAAGAAGACAAAATGCACATCATCTTGTTTTGAAGTCATTTATTGGCAATTACAATAATAAAATTGAACAAATTTATGTCAGGTCAGTTGGATAAAAACACTCACGGCCGAACCAACACTCAGGGTCTTTGAATAACTGAGGAGAAAGCTAGTGCTGCCTTTTTAAAAACATCTGCAAACGGTTAGACGTTCTAGTCTTCTCTGATAAGGACAATAAACCGTAGGCCCAGTCTCACAACCCTTGCATATATAAATTCTGTGGGACGTTAAAGAACCCACACACTGTTCGTAAAGAGCAGGGGACATAGTCTCCGGTGTGGTGGTCTATCTCTCTTGGGGGGAGGGACTGTCACAGGCCTGCAGTATTTAGCGTCATGCTGTTGCGGTGACCCTGCCAATAATTGGCGAATCTAATAAAATAAAAATAAAAAAAATAAGCAGGTTGAGTTTCAAGAAAATATAAGGGCTTTCCTCCCTCAGGAACAAAGCAAGCTGTCCATAATAGTTGGTTGTGTGTATGAAGCGGGTATCAATAAAGTTGATAAAGCGAGAATTGACTGTACACCCCCCCCCCCCGCCAGGTTTAGCCAGGTTTCTTCACCCTTTACGCCTCCTATTATTCTGGTTTTCTGAGGATACAGATTAGGAGAAAACATGACATGTAGCAGCTCGATCTGAGGCATTCTGAAAGTTAAGGACTCATTAAAAAGCTGCTGAAAGTAATATTGTCCCTAAGTTGTGGTCTTGAAAATCAATGTTTTGTTTCCTAGAGGCAAAGGACATTTTTCTAAACCTTACAAAAAATGTTAAACTTTCATCTGTTTCATTGACCTTGAACTTTCTTACCTAAATATGATTGTTTGGGAATTTTTCAATTAAATGTCATTTTCTATGTGCAATCATTCGCTTGAGAACGTGTACCACCTTAAGGTTTATCTATAATATTTCTGCAGTGATTGCTGTTGAAAAAAAAAGGCTATTTTTCTGTTCAATTTTCATGTATTTTTTTTGTTGTTTTTCGATCTGTAACGTGAAATGCTTTCATTAATTATTCATATATTTCACAGCCTTAATTGCTACGATTATTTTTAAACTTTACTTAAACAGAACTCTTTTCGTCAATAAATTTACTACCTTTCAAGCTGTTTAAAAATATAATAATATAATTATACATTTTTTTTGTCATTGAAACTGAGCAATTGAATTTTAAAATTTATTCTACAAATTATTTCATTTCGTGCTTGAATGTATCAACAATGAAAAAGCGCCCTGCGTGACGCCTTGCGTGTTTCCACGTACGCACGCACTTTGTTGAAATTGCACAGATTTCAACTCGGATGAATTCAAAAGAAAGAAAACATTTCAAAAAATTGCACAGATGATTTTCGTTGTATTTAGTTCGTAATAACTGACCTCCGATTATATTTGTTTGTTAAGAGTACAACTTGAGTTAGAAGTAGTTTAGTTTGAAATTAATCACTTAAAAAGACCGGAAAGATATTGGAGTGGTTATTTGGTAGTGTACACGCTTTTCCCAGAATAACGAGAGAAATACAAACCGAGATAACGCTTTTCTTAGCCATGTGACAAAAGGCGGTGACCGATGTGTGACCCTGCTCCGTTCAAAGCTCTTTATTATTAGCAGCGAAAAAAATATTTTCATAAATCTAGTGTCGGCTGGTCGGCCGTAGGAAAGCCCCCATATCGGATGTTTAATTCCGGGGGGCGTTGCTCTAGAGATCGACGCTGACAGTCAATTCTTTTTAGTCCAAAGTAAATATTTGCTCTGTTCTTTTCCTTTACATTTTCGACAGGGAGACTTCGACGGAAACTCGTGTATTCAGTTTCGAAGTTGTTTTCTTTCGTGCTACAAGATTGACATGTTTTATTTTTGTCATATCTGTGTTTTGCAGCGCACTCCAATGCTTCACTCGGTTTGTCGCTCACACTATTGTTTCACACTTTCCGTGACGGAAAACCAAATTGCCTTATCTTTTGTTTCCTGAAGTAGGTATAAGCGCAGATATTTTTTATTGGATGAAAGGAAAATCTTGTGGCGTCATTGCAGGGAACAAAAAGAAAAAATCGCATCCTTTTATATGAATCTCGTTCGAAAGGAAACGACTTTTTTAGAATTAGGTCCCCCGGCTATCATTATCACGTGATGTACACGGCACCTTTGAACCAATCAGGAGGCTTAAACGAAAAATGCGCATAATAGCTTTCCATCGTCGGAAAACAAATCGCCATCTTGAATTTGGTTGTTTGGGATAACCTTTGGAATTACAATTCTTTGGAGATGATTTTGGTTTTTAACATCTTCGAAGATTGTTGAGGTCTTAAAGTTTGCTTTCTACGGATTTTGCGGTCTCTGCTGGCGGCAAATTTCGCAGCTATGCCTCCTGTAAAGCGTTTACAGAAAGCTAGGTATGGAGTACGCAGTAATGTTGAAGTGTCTATCTTGCTAAGTACGAGTGGAAATAATACGGCAACAACGCCCGATAACTGTGATCACTCTGTGCTTTGCCCTATTCTATTTCAAACTGCATAAATCGCGAGTATTGAGATCCACTGATGTCCAGTTTTTTTGCTGTTTTTCAGGACGAAGAGTACAGACAATTCAAGGTAACGTACGATAACGTTTGTCATTTTGCTAGATTCATACAGCGTCTTGAGTCTTTCCGTAGAACCCCAACGGATCGTAGGCGATCGAAAAGTTTTGAAGGTTAACAGCTGTTAGCTGATAGGATTCATCAGTTAAGATTCGCTTAAAACGGAAATCGTCGCCTTGTATTTGCTTGTATGCGTGTGTGGAGAACATGTAACATCGAACAACTGCAAGATTGAATAATAGTCTTCGAGATCCTCCTTGTAAGTGCAAGTTATACCACGATACCCTTACGTCGTAGCATTGATGTCTTTAAGAAAAGATCCAATTTTTCAGGGTGAAGATCGTTTTTTCCAAACAATTTGGAGTTTGTTTTTTTTTTCGCCGCAACCTTGTTCGAAACGCGGCGAACCCGGTGCCGTGCATAAATTAGCCAAGCATCAATCCAGTAATTGAGAAGTCTCGATTTCTGTCGCTCTATTTTTCTGTCAATTTAAGAACAGAACGCGAAAGCCATTGTATAGTGATTTGTTGGGGTTGATTCAGGTGGTTAGGGTATGGTTTGAGGGCGTTTTTTCTTCTCGCGGAACATCGAGGAACGAAGAACTTGTTTATTGTATGTTCATAACATATTAGTCGAATTGAAGTTCTGCGAATCGGCTACTTTGGAATCTGTGATCACGCAAACCATTAGAGTCCTTCAAAAGTGACTTTATTTGCCGTGGCAGTGTGCAACTGGCCCAGTCGCATTTGCATTGATTGTTTTTAAGTCGAAGGTAAAAGTTTGGAGTGTTCTTGGCCTGGCTGGAGACTTTTTTGTTTACATTTGCTCTTGTCGGAAAAAACCATGTATGTAAGTGTAGCTCATTTTCGCTGAAACAGACAGCTGTTTTCGCGTTGTTTTCATTGTCTTAAAATGGTGGATCTCTTGTGGCAGTCTTCCTGCTTCATTTAGCGGTATTGTCTGGTACTTTTAGCGAGAAATTGATTGTGTTTCTGTTTATGTTATAGTCAAGCACGAAAAGCTGTCGTAATTTGCGCGTGTACGAACGAAGCAAATATGCTTTTGTTCTTGATTAATTACGGAAGGCTTTGAGGTTAACGGTATTTTCGCTGGCGGTGGTGCCGGTGTGATTACCGTGAAACGCGAATATAGGATTGTTTTTTATAAAACCTGTTATTAGCGGTGTCTTTAGTGTTAATTCGACAAGGATATGTACTTCATTGTACGTACACTTTCACTGTTTTCTAGGTGAGAGTTTAAGTCGTACATGAAACTTTTAGAATAAGAAGACAGTAGTATAATATTTTTTGCCGTAACAATAGTACTCTGGTCTGGAATTTCTCAAGCAACGGGCTTTCCTTTAATGTTATTATAATAATTTGTCTCAGAATGTTATTTCTTCACCGTTTCATTTCCCACGTTCACGAAATTAAATTCAGCTGAGATTAAAAATTTAATGAGGCCACGTTTTAGCATTGAATACCAACTTAATGCTGTTTTTAGAATACATTGCTTACAGTGGAATTTATACACATATCCAGACTTATTAGATTTGCTGAAGCTGTTGAAGACAGTGTCCATAGTTGAAGTTTAATCCAGTATTAAAGTTACCTATGAAAAACAAGAATGCTGAAAACGAAATAAACTATGCATTTTTAAAAGTAAAGCCGTGTAATTATTTTTAGATTTGCTAGTTATAGCAGCAGAAAAGTGTGTTCTCAAGTGGCTTTTTTTGTAGACTACCGGTTCTTACCTTGTGTTGTTTCAGCCTGTTCTGATATGCATGTATATAAAATATTGTGTTTCATCTTATTGTTTGATGTAATCAAAGTATTGCGATATTTTTGCAAGACATGAATTTCTTCAATTCCATTGGTAACACCCTAGCAAGAATTTGTACTGTAATGTCTTGAATTTAGTTTCTCTTTTCCTGACCTTCACAAGTCAACAGGCACCTGTTAAATTCCATGTAAATAAGTCGGGAAAATAAAAACAGTGTGCTAATCAAACATGACATTTTCTCGATTTTAAGTTGCTTTCAACAAGACATTTTCTGAACTGGTTGGGTTTTTGGTAAAATTGTCACTTTTCATGAAAGTTTTCTTGTTGTTAGATCTTGTCAGTCTAGTTTTTAGAGTCACATGATTCTGTGATCCCTTTTTTTCCCTCTTAAAAGTTGTGCAGGGTTTTTAGCAGCATCCCTGAAAAATCAGTTATGCTAGGCATGACCTGATACTCACTATAAAATGGTGTGTTGCTGAATTATGATCTTGTGAATTACTTATGCAGTGGAATGTTTTTGGGTTGTGTAGAATTCAAATGCATCTTGGAATGGTCTCTGAGACACAGTTTTGCCTCAGAACTCATGTTAGCTTCATTCATGTAGCTCATGGTCTGAATAACTTCTTTTTGTTCAAGAGGCCCATTTTTATTTATCACAGCAAACTGTATTAAAATCAGAAACCTTAACATGTATGGTTAAATCTTCTAAATGCCTTCCAAAACAGAGAAAATGAATTTACCTTTACAGAGCTACATGCATCTAAGTTATACTGGTTTAATTACAGTGCATGCCACATTTGAGACATTGTCTTCTCTCTTTAATTTACCTAGCATTTTGTGTATTGTTCGTGCTAGTTGTCTTTTTAGCTTGTTACTTAAATTAATTTGCTGCTTGCACATGGCAGTGAATTGTGTTGTGGGAGTAAATGCACGTGTGCAAATAAATCGAACACTGGTGACATTGTGCCAAACTGAAAAGGTTGACGAGTCTCAGGCTTTCTACGTAACTAATGAAATTAACAGCGGTGTGAAATGTATAAAGAAGCCGATATCTCTATTTCTTCTCATGAGGAAATCACATGTGCGCTAGAGGTTTTTCCTTAAAGTGTTTTATCAAGATATCTCTGGTACAGTGTATGTGTGCGAACATAATGCCTGTCAGATGGCAGCTGGTTTATTAGCTTTACACCTTGCCTTCAGTAAATAAATTGATTTTTTCTTGGCTCACCAGAGGTAAATTAAACTGTTCATCTCAAGCAGCGCAAGATTTCAAAAGTCAAACCCACCTCGTGATAATATAGTCAAGTCTCATATGGAAGCTGTCTCAAATGTTAAACAGTCTGGGCTTCTAAATTGGTAAACACTTTACAGTGTTTTCAAAAAAGCAGCTCAGACATGCAGTCGATATGCATATTTCCCAGACAAACGAAATGTGTACTAAGGATAGATCAATACACTTGTGATATTTCTTTGTCTGTTTGGCTTTTTTTGGCATGGTAGCATCCCCTTTAATAATAAATTTACCTTCCCAAAAGTAAATCTACATCATAAAACTGAATTATTACTGCTTTGTTGTCCTATTGTTTTAACCTTTTAAAACTTTTTTTTGCATTCTTCACATCTTTTAACAGTTAATGCTGTTTGACTGATTGACTTTACAGGTCAGAAATGGTGTCATGGATTGAGATAAGTAATTTAAAAACAAGTCGAAAGCCATGTGATAAATATAATTAGTTATAAAAATACTATTTTGTTGCTCATGGCAACAGCAAGATCACCGGTCATCATGCCACACTCAGGCTAGTTTTGTTTTTCGAAAAAGAATCAACACCATACAGTACTTTGCATTTGACCTTGATGTACATCATGTAGCCAGGGTAACTGTGCGTTAATTATTTGGTCAATGTTCCTTAAATTGAAGTGCCTTGTTTAAATAATGTTGTACTGAAAACCTGATCAAGAATTCTTATACAGGAAACAATTTACATGTATCTCATGGCGGGTTGAGTGATGTTGTGTTTGTTTGTGGTCTTAACTGTTTTATCCAATACTTTTAATCCATCAAGAATTAAATTTCAAAGTTCCGAACTTTTACGGCTATTGTGAACTGTGATCTTAACTTGACTAGTCATGAGGTTAGGGCTGCAGGTTTCCTCTGTAAAGAATTTTTTTGAAATAGTTGAATGTGTCTAAGTGTCATGAAACTGAATTTTGCTGTTTGGTTGGAAATGTTAAGCCACATATTTTATTTAAAAGCACTAATAAAGCAAGATGTACTTGTACCACAATGTATGGGGTTGTGCTTCAAGTTAATAACAAGAGTTGCTTAAAACAGTTTACCCAAGAAGCAGAAAATTATTGACAAATAGATATTGTTTAAATTAAACAGGTAAATGATTCATGTTCATTTCCTTCTTGATTAACCCTTTACTCCTAGCTCAAACTTTTCAGTCTGTGGAAGAAACTTTTGCATTTTACTATTTAAATCTTAGAATAATATTTTTAACAAACGAAATTATTTTTTTGTTTAAGTTTTCTTTGGCCACTTTAAATTTACCTTTGTTCTCGATTAGTTTACAACTCTCTGGGGAGAAACTAACTCCTGGTCAACTTGTACATTTATTGTTATTTAGTGTTAACAGTTTAAGGGTTGTGGCCATTTAGCTTTGATTCTCAGGAAGGAGGCCTTTGTTTTCATTAATATGTTGAAACATTTTATAAAATAACTAAGATAGTATACACACTCTGATTGGTTAAAAGCCTATGGTCTATTGTAAGGGTAAACTCATAGCAAACTTAAAGTTATTTTTTAAAGCATTAGACCACACTTTCTATGGGTTTACCAGCGTGATAACTCACTTGGGGTGTTGGGAGAACACTCGAAAAGCTTGTAAATCACTTGCCTTCAGCTCATGATTTACAAGCTTAAATGTTTTGCTCTTGCTGACAAATGATATGCCTGTTAAAAAATTATTTGCAGCCTCTTTAGTCACCCTGCTACAATGTATAAGGGTCTTGTTGCTCTTTATCATGTACCACAACGTTAGATAAGACTTACTGTACATTTGCAACCCAATGTATTTGTTTACTTTACTCGACAGACCTTCAGTTTGACTTTCTCCTGTCATGTGGTAGTAAATTTATATGCATGAACTTGTCAGATTTGTTTAATATTACAAGAAAAGTAATTTACGTGTGGTAAAATTATTGCTAGTCTTACTAGAATGTATTCTTTGATCATTCTCCATGTTTTTTTTTTGTAAGGAAGTAATTGAGAATTATTGCAGTTTACAATGTTTTTCACACTGTAAACTTTAAAAATTGTTCGGGTACTTACGGTTTAGCTTTTGTCTTATGCAATAAAGTTCAATATTTTTACAAGGTAAAAGAAGTTTAAAATGATTTATTTTTGCTAGTTTGATTGTTTTTACTATTACTTTCTCTAAAAGCTCAAATAAACCAGAAAAATTAAATAACCCACAGTTTACACTACTCCTCAGCACTTTATGTACTTGAAACAATAATTATTTTGACGAGTTCAAAATAAAGTGTGCTATGTTTCATATAAAATAGTTATGTTGGGTTCCCTTTGAACATTCCTTTTGTTGAAGTAGCTATTTTACCATGTGTGATGTTTTATTTAGGTGTATATAGATGTTTTTTCCAAGGGACATAAACTTACATGTAGTTTATGTATTGGATCAATAAATCAAAATCCACTGTGTAAAAAGGTTGTCAAAATTATGTAAATTATTAGGGAAAATATTTCCAAAAACAGTTTTTTTGTCTCACAAACGCAGCACTGGTGTTGAGAAAACAGATTTTTTTTATCTCTGCTGTTTTAAATGTGGACGTGCACTGAATCTTAAAGATCTTCCGTCTTGCTTTTTGTTTAAACCAGTGAACAATGACAAAATTTCTGTTGGCATTCCAATATTGTTATTTTGGTGGACAATTAATCTTTTCTGGTGTCAGATGCATCTTTGTTCTCTCTTTCCAGTTGTTTAATTTTCTTTGTGTTGGTTTCAGTTGTTTGGCGCCATAAATTGTTAATCTATTTTCGGAAGCATTTCAGTGTGATTCCTTTCTTTGTTTTGAAAGAAGAAATAGTAAAATTAGGATTAATACCAATTTTGTACCTAAATTACCTAAGTGTAATTAGCACAGCATGAGGGAAGGCTGGATTTTTTCTGGTAATAAATAGGTAAATAACACGTGCTTCAGTTTAAAAATGCAAAGCCTGTGAAGCATGTACAATGTAGGCTTCTATCTTATCTCTTGAGCTCTGGGATTTATGATATACATAGCAACTTTTTCAAACTTTTTGCCTTGTCCCATTATTGTGGGATGTTAGTCTTCAACACTTGAGCGTAGGTTTTGATGTCAGAAAGAAAAAATTTAAGAAAAATGCGTCAATGGTTTATGAATACAAAGAAAGGAAAATGGCACTTGACCTTGTGGTGCAGAGTGCAAGTTTTACTAGCAGAGAGGAAGCAAGTTTTAAGCTGAAGCTATCGCATTAGCCAGGTGGGCAATGAAGCCCCAGCCCGCCCTTCCTTTTAATACCTATATGATGGTGTGAAAAAATTTGATTCTCTTATTGTAGTTACGTGTACATATGCAGTACTTTACTGTGATCATATCGGTAAAGTGCCACAAAGCAGTGCATGTCCATTCCTTTTTTAACTGTTGAACAGGAAAAAGTCACGAAATGAGCAAATTCATGAAATATTAATTCATGCATTGTGGCTGACTCTTTAGGTGTACCTCTTAACCCTTTCAAAGACAACATAATAATGCGAAAGGATTGCAAAACCTCAAATCTACTGTGGTTATGTTTGTTTATGAAATACTTGACAGTGATCACACATTGTAACTATAGGAGCCACAAACCATTCTTCTTCATTTTGAATGACGAAAGGACAAAGTCAGGAAGTATGAGGTTTTATCAAACAAAGCATTTGACAATGTTTAATCTGGAATTTTCCTCATTTGGAATTAGGCGATTCTTAGAATGAAAAGGTTAACTCAAGATTACTTGGCTGTAAGCCACTTGGTAGTATTACTTTTTGGTCACTGTAGAAGGGATAAAATTGACTGGTATGACTTAAGATGAATAGCATTGATTCATCAAAGTATAACTGCTTAGAACTGTGAGACCACTTAACGCTTTCAATCTGAAAAGTGCTGGAATTTGCATTCAACAAAAAAAATACGAGTGTATTTTGAGTGTGTAAAATATTAGGGCCAAGCTTAACTTGAATAGTCACTTTCAGATTTTGTCCACAGACTCAAAAGTTAGAACTACAAATAGTATCACAGGAAAGTACTGCTTAGGAGCTTTCATTTGAATGGTAACACCATAGGATTTCATCCAGAGACTCAAAAGTTAGAACCACCTTGTACCGCATAATAAACGGTACCAACAGTACCGCAGGATTTTATTACTTCTCAGTAGCTTTTATTTGAATGAGACATGTATCGTTGTCTCCTAGTTATTTCTCCAATCAGAACTTTTGTTACTTGATACCAGTGATGATACAAATTTAATGGTGAATTTTAAGGCTGGTGAATACATGTACATGAGATGGTTTTTCAGTCAGTGACACAGGTGGCTTGGAAGAAAAAATCCGAGTACTGCGAATAGGAATTGAACCTATAACCTTCTGCTTACTAGTCTAGTCCACATGCTTTACCACTAACTACAGGAGACACATGAGTGTTAAGACAACTAAACTAGGTGCTCTTCATACTATTGCATTATCACTGTCTCGAAGCATGGCTCTCCTAGAATAGCTTAAGCTTTCTGTGGGTATGTCAATTATTTTAACTTTGACTTTTGAACTAGTAAAATACAGTACTGTATATATGTTACAGGTCAAAATAAAATTTAGGTTGAAATTTTTGAAAAGGCTTGCTTACAGTGGAAAGTGGACTTCTAGTTAAGAACCCAAGTAGAAAAATACTTTATGTGTGTATTTTTTATCCCTCAGTCTGAATATGTCAGGACATGTCCATGGGAGACTATTTTTCAATTCCGTTATTTGATCACGTTAGATCACGCTAAGGACACGGTATCAGAAACGATCATTACCATGAAATCTAGGGCTTGAAATTTACATATTACTATTAGCCTAGCATGATTTTCAGTATCCTTTGTCTCTTAGCCCTAATTCATGGAAATAGAGAATCAACCTAGCTTAAAAAATTTTAACCTGAATTGAATTTTGACTTGTAACATATTCATGTATGTTTACATGTTCAAGTTAATGGTCACACCCTAGGACGTCATCAGCACCATAGGATTTCTTCGGTAGCCTAAGAAACACACTGCTTGAAGTGTTTTGTTTGAGTGGTCATGCCATGGGATTTCATCCGTAGACTCCAAAAAATAGAACAATCATCTTGAAATATGGACTCTGAGGTTCAGAGAACTTGACTCGTTATGTAATGTTATTGTGTACACTACTGATATAGTGCTTTACTCTTGACTAAGTATTATGTAAATTTGTTTTTGAGTGTCATTGAAGCTCACTTTAGCATGTGCTTGTCGTGTCATTTGCCGCCAAAGTTAATTATCATACTTATTGTATAGGCACCTTTACATGTGCATGTGCATGTGACATTAAGTATCCATATCATGCTATCGTTTAATTCTACAATACTTAAAAGCTCATCTTTTTCTTGGACTTCATACACTGGTCACAAAATTAATTTGTTAACGTCCTGAACTGATGAATGCTAAAATATCCAAAACATTTTCCAGACTCTAATGCCGTTGATTTTTAGAAATGTTTAATTTTTATTCTGACTGCTGCTTCTGAATTTTGACAAACACTTAAAACCCTATTATCAACCTGTGGATTCCCTACACTGTTGTCTATAATCAATCTTGTACAATACTGTTTTGGAGAATTTGTTTCAAAATTAGGACAGCTAATTATTTCCTTCACTATCGCAACCTGTATTTTTTAGTAGATCCCAGTTTATGTTTATTAAAATACTACATGCCTACTTTCATTCAGAACTGTTGAACTCCGCAAGGAGAGATCCCGTGATGCTGCAAGAAGTAGGCGAGGTAAAGAAAATGCACAGTTTGATGAGTTGGCAAAGCTTCTTCCATTGCCTGGTGCCATTACTTCACAGCTGGACAAAGCATCGGTTGTGCGCCTCACAATCAGTTACTTGAACATGAAGCAGTTTAACCTCCCTAAGAGAGGTAAGAATTGCATGAAATTTAGAGAAAGATGATCAATGATTAAGCTTTTGCTTGTAGACTTTCAGTCACATTGCATCTGTTTGTACACACTTGTTGTACAGAGAGTTTTTGATTCAACTAAGTTATATCAAGACTTTGAACGTTAAAAGGGTGGCCTTGTTGGTGGTAATAACATCGCTCACTATAGTAGGGAAAAAACTGAATATTTTGTGGAGGCAGTATGGCTAAATGGTTAGGGCGTGGGACTTGTCATCCAGAGGCTCTGAGTTCAGTTCCCTCCCTGACTACTAACTGGATTTGTTCTTGGTTGTCCTAAGTTAAAATCCTCAGCAACAAATGTAAAATAACCAACTGGTTCACCTACTACAGTTGGGATTCTTAACTTTGAATTATTTGTTTCATTATCCCTGAAAAGTCCCATAAGGGGAGAGGATAATTAAGTATTTATTTATTATTATTATTATTGTTGTTTATTTGACAAATTTTTTTTTACCACAGTTAAACGGTATCGTCAGGGGTCAGACTGTTCATTTCACTCAGAATCCTCAGCCTCGCCTCAGTCAGAAGTAGATGTTGGTGAGTGAATTAGAGCACTTACTTGTAATGTGAGAATTATTTGCAGCAGTGGGACCAAAGCCCACGAAATAGGCTATTTCCAAGTTTCAAAAATTCGCACTTTCAAAACAAGGTTAAGTGCAAAAATCTTTCTTGTGAAAATGAGTTGTATTTGAATCAGAATGAAAAGTCATTCTCATATCAATGACTCCGCACTTTGCCTCACTTCAAAACAGAGGCTTGGGAGAACTCAGAAATGGCCTTTTGACATGCTCCTAATGTCCGTGGCATCATAGCTCTGAATTTTTACATTAATTTCAAATTGCTTGCATTATTAGTTGCTATGATTGTGACGTGTTATCTATGGTTTCGTTCAGTCATGTTTGTTACTGTCTGTGTGTTAGTTGTAAACAAGTGACCCAGGTGTTAATTCAAGAATTTACAGTACAGTGGAACCTCAATATTACAAAGGGCTGCGGGCCTGGTAAAATTTGCTTGCTCTATCGAGGTTATTTTTCATATACCGTTAAATTCCGAAAATAAGGCCCTCCATGGATAAGCCCGTCCAGATATAAGCCCCCCAAACCAGCAGTGCAAAAAAAAAGACTCCATTAAATCACCCTTTCAAATATAATCCCCCCGGGGGCTTGTTACTTGGAAAATTGCCCTCAAATAGACAGTGAAATCGAGTTTGATTTTGAAACGCAAATTTCCTTCTGTAGATAAGCCTGCCAAATATAAACCCCTCCAAAAATAAGCCCCTCAAAAAGGGCCTTTTGAAAAAAATAAGCCCCTGGGCTTATTTTTGGAATTTTACGGTATTTTTCTATCACTGAGGTAAAGAAACTTGTTTGTTATACAGAGGACTTTGTTATATAGAGGTTCATCATATTGAGGCTCCACTGTATGTGGTTGTCACTGGTCTCATTGATGGCTGGCAAGTGCTCCTGCCACTGTGCCATGCCTTCTCACTGAGACAACAACAAGCTTCTTGTTTCTGTAGATTTGATCGGGTCTTTAAAAGATAAATTTAAAAGTAGGACCTCACCTCCTTTTTGCAGATGCTCATTTTGGAAGTGCAGGGAGTCCCTCGCCCAATTCCTCACTTTCTTCACCTCCGGCAGCAGTGAGTTCCTCTGCAGGTAAGCGTTAACAATAAAAGCGTTAATAATTTTTTACATAAAAAAATGTCATATCATTGAGTGAAGGGACCATGCTTTTGAATACAGCATATTTTTATTGCTTGTGCGAGTAATAATAAAGGAGATCTGGGATCTGCACTAGAGTAACTGTAATACATTTTTGGCAGTGAAGGATATTTGTGGCTGAACAGGGTGTGGTTTTCAGGGTCTTGAGTCTTGGGGCTGATACATTACATTCAGGATATCTGTAAGCATTTATTTGCCTGTATTTCAGGTGCAGTTTCAGCTTACAATCCGAATGAAATAACTCTTCAGGACCTGGCAGATAACAGTGGCATATTTTTGCTGCAGGTAGGGGTTACATCAAATATTTTATGGAGAAAGCATTTCATGGAGCAAAAGATTTCCATCACTAGCTTTTCCCCAGTTTACCTGTTGGAGATAGTAGAGAGAAGTGATTAATCTTTTTTATTAATACTTTCCTTGTACTTACAAATATCTTTTCTTTTCTTTTGTAAAGGCCTTGGATGGTTTTCTGTTTGTACTGTCTGGTGAGGGAAAAGTTTTGTATGTTTCAGAGACAGTGTCAGTTCATCTTGGTCTATCACAGGTTAGTGTCCCTGTAACTGTAGCTAACTACAATGTGTGTTTAGCATGTCAAATTCCTAAGTTTAACAAAAGCAAGCAAAAAGTTTGTCCTAAAAAAATGAAATGAAGAATCTTAAATACGATTTGAATTGCATGTCCAGTGCATTTACAAAGTTAGAATCATTGAATGTTTTTTATTATTTTTATATATTTGTTTTACAGGTTGAGTTAACAGGAAGTAACATATCATGTTACATTCACCCTGAGGACCACCCAGATGTTATGAATGTTCTGGCAGAAGCCAGGGATGAACTTGAGAATTCTGAACATGTACCATCTGGAAGGTACACAGACAACATCCCATTCTTTGGAAATCAGCAAGGTATGTTTTGACCACACTTGACTAATGGTGGATTCTTCTGGTCCTCAACTCTTGGACATCACTATCATTGCACCTTGCATATATTGAATTTTTCAAAATTAAATTACAGCATTTCCTGGTAATGAGAACAATGCTGCCATGGAAAAACCAAAGTCCTTCTTCATGCGAATGAAGTGTACTTTAGTACGACGAGGGGGAGCCTACACCAAGTCTTCAGGGTTCAAGGTGAGAATGCTTTTATAAACATTTGCAGAAAATATTAGTCATGCTCCATTTTCTATAAAATTGGCCTCTTGTTTCCTGGTGTCTGAATATGAAGCCTTGAAATATTGCGTGCATCTCCAAAAATTTGGTTGTGATAGTTTGGCAGCCATTTGTGATTGTAAAAAGCAAAACGAAAACTAATGGAAAACCGTTTGTGATGAACATTTTTCGTCAAGTGCATGATATATCTCCAATTCTTTTTCAACAGTGCGGGAACTCAAGTGTTTTTGTCTAGGACCTGATGACACCATAATGGAAAAAACGTGCTTATATACAGCCGCTTTGATATTGCATGGCATTCATCTCAAAGAAAACTGCTCTGCTATAAATTCAGGGGGAAATAAGTGTTAAAAGTATTAGTTTCACAACAAACTTTGTAACAAATATTACTGGTCCAAATTGAAAGTATGTAATTAATATCTGTTGAGAAAAATTGGTTGTTAAATTTATTGCTCCTTTCGAACTTACATCGAACGGATAGGAAAGTGTCAAATGGATAACTGTTAGTGTCTGTTTTGCCTTTCAAGGTCACATTTTGATTCCAACATTCATGTAATTTTGCTCATTGTTTTTCTTCTTCTGGCAACGAATATTAATTTTAATGTCTGGCAATTATTTTATAGAGGCCCTGTTAGCGTAAAAACCGGTAAACAACATGGCCTTGAAACAGCAACATAAGACAAGATGAAAAGGCAACATGACATTAAGATGAGCTAAATACCGACAGGGACATGCCCTGCTCCTCAGAAAGCAAAACAACCATATTTGAAATTCAGACTAGGGACATACATCCCCCCACCTGCAAGAGGGCCTCTTTTTAATATTCATTTGAGGTTACAGAAGGCAACTTTGAAAAAAGTCAAGCTTGGAACACGGGACTGTCGTAAAATAATCATTTAAGTTATATTGAATTTATTGTCTTTGAAGGTTATTCATTGTATGGGAAGGATGAAACAGTACTTCACTAAAGGCCTTCCAGACACCAAGTATGCATTTGTTGCTATTGGACAGCCACTTCCTACCATGAACATAAATGAGCTGCCGTTAGAGTGCAATATGTTTGTGAGCCGGGTGAACATGGATCTTAAAATTGTCTATTGTGAAGGAAGGTAAATGCAACTAACAGCTGATTTGTACTTTGTTATTTGTGTCTGTTTTTCATTATTTATTTTAAAAGACACTAATGTTTGATTTCTTCTGTTAGAATTCATAAATTCATGGATTATTTTGCGAGGGACATTGTTGGAATCTCTGCTTATGACTTCTATCATGCCAATGACATTGCTGTCATTCAAGGTCACCACGCAAAATGTAAGCAAACTAAATAACGTAACATGCCAGTGCTGTATTCATCATAGTTTTGACCTATTAATAGGTGAATATTGGTCATAGGCTAAGGGGAGATGTCAGAGGGTAACATTTACTATGAGCTGCAGTTAATTGTTGACCCCCGAGCCCTGTTGCCCTTGAACAGTGTAATAATTTGTTTACTGTTTGGAACTACTAATGTCTTTGTTGTGCAATAAAACAGTTCACTGTCAGTGTATGTTAATCAATTATTTAGCTAATTATTGTTAATTATTTATGTCAATTGTCTGTTTCCCTCATGTTACCATTAGAGTGGTTTTCGTTTGAGTGTTGTAAAACCAAAACCAAAGTAATTACTCTGGCCAATCACATAGGACACAGACAATACATTGAACCAATCAAAACTCGAAGTAATTACATGTGGCTGACGCAAAGCGCAGCGCGTCACAATTGGCTTTGGTTTTACTTCTGATTGGATGAAAAGGTGGCACGAATCTTTTAAGCCAATCGCATCGTGTAGAAAGTGCAAAACCAATTACTTTTCGACACTCAAATGAAAACCGCTCTATCTCCACAGTTCTTAACAAGGGTCAAGTTCTCACAAAGTACTATCGCTGGATGAACAAGAATGGTGGCTGGGTGTGGATGCAAACCAAGGCCTCTCTCATCCCTCACCCCACAAATCCTGAACTCAAGCAAATGTTGTGTTTGAACTACATTGTCAGGTAAGATAAAGTCAGGTGATCAACATCAAATTTCTCCTTGTAATATCACGCTTTATGAAACACAGTGGTCATGAGAATTGAGGACATGATCATACAAGATGAATCTAATTGATACTTCAACAGATTCTCCCCACTACTTCTATTGAAAACTTATAGGGACAACAAATGAGAATTTGAATTTTGATGTTAGGGTTTAAAGGGTTAAGGTCGGAACACATTCCATGACAAGTTGCAGCAACAAGTCACAGCAACAGATCACTCCTTGTATACAGGTCAGGCGACTTGTTGCAGCAACATGTTGTGGTGACCAGCACAGCGACATATCACTTGAAGTGTACTGGAGAATTTTTTGAAAATCTTTGTCTCTGCAATAGAATTTTGTTGCCACACCAAGTCACACAAATTCTGTGTGATTTGATTTTTTGTGACATGTTACAGGGGCAAAATTCTTTTTTGGAGACAAAGATTTTCACTAAAGTTCTCCAGTACACTTGAAGTGATTTGTTGCTGCAACTTGTCACCAAGTGAGTGTACCGATCTTTAGAGTAAATCTTGCATTTTGTACATTTTTTTTCCTGGGCAATTGGTTGTGCAAAAGTAGGGAAAATACCAAGCTGTCAACTTTACCTGATAACTATTACTGACATTTTGACTGCCTGGCTCTGCCAAGATTCAAAATGAATAGTGCACTATAAATAAGTGGTATTAAGAATCATTCTGGTTGTTGCCTGATTGGGCAATGTAGGACTTAGAGTTATTGGTCCTCTACAGGCCTGTTAAGCCATGGCAGGGCTGTCACTAAGTTTCCAAGTTGCTGGGTATATACAACTTATAGATGGGAAACTAAACATCTAGGAAGTTTTTTATCTTCTACTTTCCTTGTATTTGCTCTCAAAGTGGCCAGGTGTCATGCTCATGGTAGCCAGGGGAAATTCCTGGCCCACGGCCCTTCGTGACAGCCCTGCCATGGTGTAACAATTGCGAAAAGTGCTGCAGATGATACGTGCAGCCATTTTGAACAACTCTACCACTACCTGCATTATCATTTATGGTACTAAAAATGTTAGTACTATCAAGTGAAACTTGGTTCAGCCTTAATGAATTTAAGAACTCAAAGTTGAGAGAGGCAGCGTAATAATGCCTAATTTTCAATGTAACACTGGTTGTTACCTTTGGTAAGTCTGACTGACATACCAACCTACATGTATGGCGGGCTTTAAGAGTTAAAATGTAAGCTCCAGTTGTATGGAACATACGGCATTTGTGTACCTTGAGATGTGAACATGCTTCTATGGTTTTGTTTTTAAAAAGTGAAGTGGAACACCGCGGAGTAGTTCTTGGAATGATGCAGTTAGATGACAAGCCATCAATGCAACCTCGAGCTTATATCACAGAGATAGAAAACGAAACTGATGATACTGGACAACTTAAAGACGCCCAGTTTGATGACCAAGTCATGGTGTATCCTAAATGGCATGAAAACTGTAAGTTGTTACATGTTTTAGATACTACTTGCAAAGTGACAGTGCCATCTTAACAAAGCTTCCCTGGTACCTGTATTGAGAGTTAACCCTTTAAGCCCCAATATCCACATACAAATTCTCCAAACTGATCTCCATACATTTCCTTCATGAATGAGTTGAGAGAATTTGATAATTGATCAAGGCATTTTTCCTTAGGTGATCATTTTATTAATTCTCATAACCCAATCTCTTGACATTGTATGGATATCATTAGGAGAAGTTGACATTAGTCACTATTGGGACTTAAAGGGTTAACTTGTAGGAAAATAAATATTGTTGAAATTCTGTCAACCAGTCAACCACTGTTGTTAACCTTGGAGAATTAGAAACCTTGAGATTTTAAGATGAGTGTGACTACAAGAATGAGATTTGCTCAGTAGTAAGTAGTTGCACATGTGAACCAGTGTAATCTTAGCGGGAAAACCTGGTGGCGATTGTCATTCTACTGTGAGTTTTAGCGAGAATGTCATAGTGGTAAAACAAGTTATCAAATGGAAAGTTTTTTATCATTTGGCTATCAGGGGTGGGCTTACAGTAACCTCCTTCAGTAAAAATAACAAAAGTACAGTGAAGCTTTCCAGGTGTCTGTTTTTTGAGAATACACAAAATAGTCAAATCTTGTACTCGTAGTCATTCCCGTCCTTGAATCTAAAGGTCTCTAATGACTTTGAGTAAGGTGACTTACAAATTGACAGCTAGTCGTTATCAAAGAGTTGTAGTTTTATGATCTATACACAGCTTTACAGAACCAACTGGCTAGTGTCTGTCCTGTAGGGAATGTTTGATTTAAGGAGATACAACATCTCTGTGCCTTTCTTACTCATGAAAATTTTGTTTAAATATGCTATGGGAATTACAGCTTATGCCTGTATCTAACCAGTCAACAACATGTAGAACAAACTTACTGTGGTTAATTTGCCTTTCAGCTGACAAACTGGTCCCTAAACCAACCCTGCTCGACCAAATGGCCCTCACACGCTCAGGATACACCAGAAGTACTTCCTGTGAAACTCCTTTGCTTCAAGCAGATGATGTGTTCACTTCTACAGCAAGTGAACCTTGTAGTAAACCTACGACAGTCACTACTTGGTCCCCACCCACTCAGAGCTATAGTGGACAAGGTGACTCTACAAGTACGTATAATGATGAGTTTGAAGACTTGACAGAGATCATTAATGCGGAGTTGACCAAAATAGATCGTGAACTTGTCCATTTTGTGGCTAATGGCCAAACTGATACAACACCGACCCTAAGTTTCCCTGATGTAAGTGTTGATGGTCTGCTTAATGGGGACTGGCTTGGTGTGCCGTCAAATGGCACCGTTCAGCGTGGTCTCTCTCTGGGAGGTCCAAAGATTGAACCAATTTCAATAGAAGAGGAAGCTGATTATAATCAGTCCAACATGCCACCCTCAGGCATTCCTTCTCAATCATCAGGGAATTTACCAGTTGGTTGCTATCCCAATGATACCAAGCCTAACTTGATTCCAATGGAACAAGAAAACATCCCGTTTCAGTTGTCAAGTGCAAAGATGCGGGGTGTTAACAACCCATGCATGTTCAGCAATGGTAATTCTGGTACCGAGCGAAATTACCAGCAAAATGCGCCTGTTCCGAATAATTATTCCACTGGAAGTGCACCTATGATGGGATTGCCTCAACAAAAGCTGACTGTCCCTTCCACAAGAAATGCCAACAACTTAAAGATGCCTGGTGCCGCACCAAGAATTCCTGCATACACTTCCACCCCCCAGGAAATGGGAATGTCTGGACAACTGACAACGCAAGGACCCACGACTACAGCAACATCAACTGTCACTGTGGGGAGCTTCATGTCATCTGTACCAAATCGTAATGATTTTGTACAACTGCTTAAAGAGACCATTCCTGATACGTTGGCTTATACAGATGAAATGGTGGTTGACTTAGTTGATGACATGTTGGTAGACCAAGATGAAGCTCAGCGAAGGAAAGACGATGAGAGACTTGCTTCTCAACTTGCCTCTTTGCAACAAAGGGGGTATGTGCAACCTGAGGTTGGATTCATTAAGCAGGAGGTGGTTACCCCGACATTACCACAACAGACATTCTCATTTCCAAATGTTTCCAACAGCATTGCTACACAAGGTAGTCAGCCAGACATAACAAGTGCAGCCATTCAGTCGTTCACTGGGAATCGTATGTCTTCAAATACCACCTTTAGTGGGCAGCAAAATGGGACTGTAAACAATCAGAATGCTGCTTTGAGGTATCAGAACGGGAATTCTCAGTTCATGAATCAAGAAGACAGTAACATGAACTTTCTGAACTCGCTGTCAAATGTTGGACTTACAAATAAGCGTACTGGGTTACCTGCGCAGGGAAGCAACCTGTGGAACGCTAACCCACCTTCAAAGCCAAACATTATGCAACAAGGGTTAAGAAACTTGCTCCAGAGCCCTAACAGTATTCCCGCGCCAACACAAAACGCTTTGCCTGTCTCATTGCCTCAATCAGACATGCCATTCTTACCACAGCAAAATGTCAACTTGAATACTCAAGGCAGCTCCTTTAACATGACTATGGTTCCAAATTTAAGCCATCTGGAAACATTGCTTCAGTCAACGCAGCTGCCCGCTAATAACTATCAGAACCTGAATGGCACAAGTATGGTTTTCAGCAATCAAAACTCAAGAAAGGTATGACAAGTGAACAACGCAACGTCTAAAGCAAGTCTGTTTTATACAAGGTAGCGGCTAAAGTATACATTAACGTTTGTCTTTGTTTTTGTAGTTGAAACTTTTTTGTAAGTATATAAGGCAAGCTTGACTATTGTTTGCTTGCAATGTCACATTTGTTATCATGTACATTCATGCACAATTGTTTTACACGCAGTGCTCTCATTCAAAGTGAATTGGATCACCGCATTACTATTAAGTGTATATACTTATTAGTCAATAGTATAATCTCATTTTAGTGTCAATTACTCAATATCAAATATGAATTTATGCTGGTCAAGTTGAGTTTTATTACTGGTAAATATAGAAATTGAAATACTCGTCTTACCATTGTATAATATTGTTTGTTAGGATCATTGCTTTCAGTTACAGTGACACTCTTTGACACGCATATCAGCAAGCATATTCTCCTTACTGCTTCAGTTGTTATTTATGTCCTTTCTTCTCACATTGTTTTAGTGTGAGTAACAATTGCCTCTATGAGGAGTTATTAAGTTTTGATCACCCTTAAAGGCTTTTCAATGAACAAATGCATCTATACGTAGGCCCAATGACTAACTGGCCGTTTATCAGAAACCTCTGCAGCAATTCTCAAAACCTTGTTGTTACATTAAGCCCTTTTAGTACTATACTCACCAAGGCATTCGTAACCAGTCAAGACTTGACATTCTCCTTAGGATCACGTCATATCCTAAATCAGTAAAGAAACATCAGAGAAATGGGAATTTCCAAAAGTGTTGGTTTTAAGCCTTCACATTAACTTCATGTTTGGTTTGGAGATATTAAATGCTGGAAATGAAAATGGTAGGATAGAGCTGAGTTGAGTTGATGTTACAGGGTGTCACTGTAATAATTTATTTTTCACAATACAATTTTAACCCTTTATTTCCCAATAGTGTTCGACAGTCTTAAATCCTACTGTAACTTATGAGAATTTAGGACTTGATCACCAAAGATGGCTTTTAGTGGTATTTTAACACATTTTTCACAACGCTGGTGTTAACAATTTGACTTCCAGTTTCAATTATTGTGGATTTAAAGATTGAGTGTGCTGACTAAATCCCTTGAGGATCTAACTTTTGAGTCTATGGATGAAATCCTATGGTGTGACCATTCAAATGAAAGCTACTGAGCATTACTTTCCTGTGGTACTGTTTATTGTACTGTGACTTTTGAATCTGTGGATGAAATCCTATTATGTGACCATTCAAATGAAAGTTACTGAGCAGTACTTCCCTGTGGTACTGTAGTGTAGTGTTGCTGTTAAAAGTGGCTTCATTTTTTAGCCTGGACAAAATCCCATGATATGATCAATCAAATGAAACCTCTTCAACACCGTTTCAATTTACTTGAATCTTAATTTTTTCACCTCTATTGAGATCTAAAGGGTTATATTGCTGCCGTGGATAACACGCAATTAATGTAGGTAGAAATAGGAATTAGTATTGCGCCGGCAAGGTGCATTACATCTTACACAATACGTATCCTTCTAATAAGAAATAATATTATACTCTTCAAAGGTACCTTACTCGACAAAGGATATAGCGTGTCATTTAACAATATTTGTTGTACCTTAAACTCTTTACTCCTCATTATACACTTCACTTTTTGAGCTCATATTGTGATTGCGGTTAAGCATAATATAGACAAGCTAAAGATGCTTTTGCTGAACTAGTTATTTCAAGTCATTTCTTCTGCAACGTGTGTTTGTAAAGCTGCAGTAAAATGTTTTGGTCAACTAATGACTCGTGTTATATATTTTGAAGCATGCTGTAATGTTTGCGATTTTCATCATAACATATTTTAGTAATGACATTTGGTAAAGCCTGACTCTATTATTCACTGTCTTTAAATCAATCATGAAAATTTTTAGGTCAAACGAGTAATGTGGAGATTTGTTTTAAACCAATTCTTGAATAGCACTGCCGTGAACTTTATCTTTTGCTTGAAGATCTGCATGTAATTGAATCAGGTTTCATTTTAGGAAAATGATTTTCACTTTGGTATGTCAAAAGAGCATTTGTTTCTGCGCCTTTAACAGCTTGTAAATCTTTGCAGATGAAATGCTTGACGTAGTTGGTAGCTTAAATAATTAAAAAAATATTCTTTCTAAGCAAGTTTTATTTTCATAAAATAATTTGCTATTGCGTAGAACAAAATGTAGAATTGAAGTAGCAAAGCAGTCAATTTTGTAGTGGACGGTTCCACCAAGTGAAGCCGTGGTTTATTTTGTAGTAATGTTTTTTGCTGTTTAATTGTAGGACTGATAACAATTCATAGTTCGTCTAGTAAATATTGAGTAGCTTGTGACAATTTATAATGTTTCTATTTTGCGTTGTTTTTAGCCAGTGTCCACACGCGTCCGTTACATAAAAGCTGAACGCGTTTACAGCTATCGATCTTAAACGGATATTTTCGTATCCTCTGAAGTGGTAAGTTCTTCAGACAGGTACATATCACGAAAGTGAATTTATTCCACAAGACGGGTTATAGCTTTTTTCTGTCGAAGCTTCGATAAGGTCTTTTTCAAGTTGGCGACTGCATTAGGTCACGTGACCAGTCATATGACATGGAACGTTCTCGTGTGGAGTTTGCATCCATAACGTTTAGAAGACTGTTTTAACTGGCCGGTGTGGATATAGACAGGCTTAGGTATCTATCTGCAGTGTGACTCTTTACTTTTGTTCTTTGTATACTATTGTTAAAGTCAATTCCATTAGTGCATATTCTACGACCGACGCTCAGATGGATTTTATTGTACTCATATTGATTGGACAGTCGTAATGTTTTGAAAGTTTTTCACACATTGCTCAAACCTGTAGATTAATTAGTTTAATATATAAACTATTTAGTGATAGTTCTTTTTCTCATAACATAAATGCCTTGTGTGTGACTTATTAACACTGAACAGGGTGAGCGGGCAACCCAGACGAAGTAGGCTTTGAAAGTTATCGCAACTCATCCTATTCCTACTTCGTTTTCTTTCTTACTATTTTTGAACGTTTTCACCCGATCGGAAGGAAAATTACTTAAGTAACCCTCAAAACGTATTTCCGTTGCTGAGCTTTGTCATGAATTTGCAACGTTATGGAATTGACTGAAACTATGTAAAGTGTTGTAGCCCCCATTCATAACCTATTATACATGGGAAAGGTAAATACTATTTCCTAAGGACCATTGCCATATAGCAATAAACAGTTGAACACGCACGGTGGCATTTTTTATTGTATGCGATCGTCCATCGTATTATTACGAGACGCTTTCGACATTCGCCACTTTAGAAACGAGGAGTCTGGGCCGAGTTAACTTTTGCAATGACTTCTGGGATTGTTACTAGGAAGAGGGAAAAAGGTTAGCATTAGGTAACATCGGTTGAAGTCAGATTGTTTCTTTCAGTAAAATTACATGAAGAACAACTTAAGTCCTACTTTACTGTGTAATATAAAAGTGAAACAGAAAAACTCCACTGTGATGCTTTGAACCCGGGTCACTTGCTTTATAGCCTACATCCATAACCACTACACCATCGAGGACTAGCTGCCAAATCCAGTAATTTTTAAAATATACATGTTCTTATATATGCCGCACGCCGTTACAATATTTAAAAGCTAACCGTTTACAGTTCAGTGCCTAACCCTAATCACTGCAGATCAGTGCTTAACTCGCTACTGTGTTCTCTCCATAACTGGAGCTCTGTAGTTTTGGTTTCTTCAGCTATTCTAGCCTCATTCTACATTCCAGTCTCGTTCCATAATGGAAATATTGCGTTGTGTAAAATTCATAAGGTGTCCAATCTGGCTTCACTCGATATTATCTAACGCTAACCAGGAGAAATAACCAATAGCTGATCGGTTCGTCGCCGTCGCAATCCCAGAAACAATTGCGGGACACTTTTCAGCTATAGTTCCCTTATCGTTTCTTATGTGGCGAGTCTATTGCATGCTTATCTTAGTGGTGTGAAGCGAAAGTCACTTTTTTGCTTCTTGATCCTCGAAGTATGAAAGACAACCACCATGTGGTAAGATCTTGGTAGTATTAGCTCAACTTCCTCATGTAGGAGATTATTGTGAGCGCGCAAAGTGTTAGAATTACTTAAATGTGGGTGTCGAGAAAAAGTTACTAGCTCATTCGGTCAGCGGCTGTTCGCTAAGATGTCCCGTAGCCGGCACGGCACGTACATAGTAGGCTGATTTAGCAGCAGAACAGGAACGTCAGTTTACGACGGCGCGCGCAAATCAAACATCTGGTTTGACCAATGGCGGAGCGGCAAATTGGGCACCGAAAGTCGCGTGTAGTCGTTTTCGCGCGCTTTTTCCGTTGTCAACTGACGTTCCCGTTCTGTTGCTAAATCAGCCTGTCTCCTTCGCAGCCGTTATGAGGGTCGTCACCCAACACTCCTCCCCACTATCGGCCGCTAGTGGGGAGGAGCGTTGCGTGACACCCCCAATAACGACTGCGAAGGAGACTAGCACGTAAAGAATTTACAGGCTATTTGGTTTGGTGCCACCACAAAAAGCAATCAGATGGTGGATAGTGGCGCGAAATGGACCGCGGTAAAACAAAAAGGAGGACAAGAGGGAGAGGGACATGACAAAGAACTCTCGCCACTCCCCCTCCCCCTCCTCCTCACATCTTGGCTCTGTTTTCTCCTCTCTTTGGCAGACCACACAAAATCAAGCAATTTATGCCAGTCACGGATCGTTTTTGAGAAAAATGACTCGGTCCATTATGTAATTATAAGACAAAAACCGCAAAATGAATTTTTTAAAATACATCAATCAAAGCTGAAGAAAGAAAGCAACTTAACATACCTAGACGAAGACAAAAAAAAACTAAATTTTATCACGACAAATTCTACGATAAACTTAAGAAGCAAAAACGAAAATGGATTATTTTTGCGAAATGTAGAAACTAACCTTTGTTATTGTAAGAGAGGAGCATCGTCCTTGCCGCGACGATCT